TGGTTCTCGGAAAAATCTCAATCTTACTTGGGGTATTATCTCGGATAGGGGAAGGCACGATAAGACAATGTTGTGGCATTGATTTGTAATCACAAATACACGGTGCGTGGCTTTAGTGTGAACTATGGCGAAACAAAGATGTGAATAAACCAAGGAGTCACTGTTTATATTTTGTAAGTGGTAGCGTCCGCTGATTAGACCAATTGGGACATTTTCGGCCGAAAGAACAAACAAGAAATTACAAAACAATTGTTGCAAAGAATTGCGAACATTGTGGCGTAATTGTCAGCGAGCCGTGGGACAAGCTTGGAGATTTCTACTTCAGGAAGTGATAATCCTTGCAACGCCTCAGAAGGTTACTGCTGCAAAATCCCCAAAGAAACAGGTATAAATTGGAGGCCATATCCTCGTTGAAAATCGATTCTGTTTATAACTGTCTTAGATTATTAACAATCAACAAGTCTATTGTAATAATAAGAAACACAACTATCTGCAATGTCTCCAACAACTGTTTTCATTTCTGGTGCTAACGGCTATATCGCCCAACATATCGTTAAACAATTACTCGAACAAGGTCATTCTGTAGTTGGTTCGGTAAGAACAGCAACCAAAGGTGAATCATTAAAGGAATTAACCCAATCTGATAAATTTTCTTACGAAGTAGTTCCAGAATTAGAATCACCAGGAGCTTTTGATCAAGCACTTAAAAGGCACCCTGAAGTTGCTGTTTTCTTACATACTGCTTCCCCAGTTGGTTTTGGTGCTGAAGATATCGAAAATTTTATTTTGAGACCAGCTATCGAAGGGACTAAAAATGCACTTAGGGCCATAGTTGAATATGCTCCCCAAGTTAAAAAGGTTGTCGTTACTTCATCTGGTGCTGCTATTTCTGGATTTGGTAAATATTTTAGTTCAGAAAAGATTTATACCGAGGAAGATTGGAATCCAATTACTTTAGAAGAAGCGTTAGAGCATGGATTTAATGGATATCAAGCATCTAAGAAGTATGCAGAATTGGCAGCTTGGGATTTTATTAAGGAGAACAAAGTAAACTTTGACCTTATTACCATTATCCCAACTTTTGTATTTGGTCCCCAAGCATATGGCGTTAAAGATAAGTCTCAATTGAATCTTTCCGCTGAAATTGTTAATAGTGTCATTAAATTAAGTCCTGATGATAAAATCCCTGAACAAAGTGATACTTTTATTGATGTTAGAGACGTTGCAAAGGCTCACATTATTGCCTTTGAAACTGACAAAGCTATCAACCAAAGATTATTATTAAGCAGTGAAAGACAGTCTTTAGAGAAAGTTGCTCACATTGTTAACAAGCATTTCCCAGACTTGAAGATTCCTCAAGGTAGTTTGGCAAAACATGAAGAACAGAGTGCTATTTCACACAAGGATAATTCTTCAAAGACGAAAGAAATTCTTGGCTTTGAATACTATACTCTTGAACAAAGTGTCGTTGATGCCGTCAAACAACTTATCGAAGCAAATTAGATGTAAATTTTTATAGTTAACTAATAGTTTATAGCTAATACAATACTGTTATCGTAGTATAAAGTAGTAAACGGAGGATATATTGGCTTAGCACCAAGTTTCAGTAGTTCTTCCGAATCAGTAAATTAACAACTGATTGCATACATTTAAATTATGCCAGTTCGTATTGTTCTGTGTGGGAACCCTTAACTGTCAATTGATATATAGACTGACAATACGAACGTTCGGTTCAAACTTTCCAGTTGCAAAATCGTCGAATGGTACCGCAGTTATTCAACAATAACGATTCAGAGAATGCGTCTCCTCCCAAAAGTCACACCGGTATGCCTCTATAATGAGGTTCGATGTGTTACCAATGGTCATTGGTTACGTCTAGATAGAACGTTTTGAGCATAAGCACCCGTTTTTGTCCGTTTACTAATTTCCAATAGTAATAAGCAACGTAAGTTTAGAATATCATGGTTTTCGTCATAACACTGTTCCATTGTTATGGGATAATCGGAAGGTCATGAAATCCTAGTGGATGATAATGTATTTTAACATTGAACTTCTTCATAGTATGCAAAATCAATACTGGTGGTAGTGTGCACATAATCAAATTTCACCCAATAACATCAAAGGAAATCCAATTACCAAATAAAAATATTTTTTCTGTCCCTCTTCACTTTTAGAGAGCCTATTAAATGTGCACTACTAACAACAACTTTACTAGGCATAAAAAAATTTCAATTTCAATAACCCCAAACAACATCTTCAAAAAAAGCATATACACAATTCGAGAAAACACAAGCCAAAGATGCTTCGTAATATGAAAATACAGCAACGTGCTTTGACTCGTGGTTTAGCTACAATTGCCGACCCAGCTGCCAATCCTCATAGACATTATGGAGGATTAAAAGATCAAGACCGTATTTTTCAAAATGTTTATGGAACTTATGGACATGATTTAAAATCAGCCCAAAAGATGGGTGATTGGTATAAAACCAAGGAAATCATTTTAAAGGGGGATAAATGGATTATTGATGAAATGAAAAAATCAGGATTAAGAGGTAGAGGAGGTGCTGGATTCCCCTCTGGACTTAAATGGTCATTTATGAATCCTCCTGGATGGGAAAAGAATGCTGGTCCAAGATATTTGGTTGTGAATGCGGACGAAGGTGAACCAGGTACTTGTAAAGATCGTGAAATTATTAGAAAAGATCCTCATAAATTAGTTGAAGGTTGTTTATTAGCTGGTAGAGGGATGAATGCTACTGCAGCTTATATTTATATTAGAGGTGAATTTTATAATGAAACTGTAGTATTACAAAATGCTATTAATGAAGCATATAAAGCAGGATTAATTGGGAAGAATGCATGTGGATCAGGATATGATTTTGATATTTTTATTCATCGTGGTATGGGTGCTTATATTTGTGGTGAAGAAACCGCATTAATTGAATCAATTGAAGGTAAAGCAGGTAAGCCAAGATTGAAACCTCCTTTCCCAGCTGGTGTTGGTTTATTCGGTAGACCAACTACTGTTGCCAATGTTGAAACTGTTTCTGTTGCCCCAACTATTTTAAGAAGAGGTGGTGATTGGTTTGCTTCATTTGGTCGTGAAAGAAATCAAGGTACTAAATTATTCTGTATTTCTGGTCATGTTAATGACCCATGTACTGTTGAAGAAGAAATGTCTATCCCATTGAAAGAATTATTAGAAAAACATTGTGGAGGTGTTAAAGGTGGTTGGGATAATTTATTAGGGGTTATTCCAGGTGGTTCCTCAGTTCCAGTATTGACAAAAGATGTTTGTGAAAATGTTTTAATGGATTTCGATGCATTAAGAGATGTTGGATCTGGTTTAGGTACTGCTGCTGTTATTGTTATGAATAAACAAACTGATATTATTAGAGCCATTCAAAGATTTTCTCATTTTTATAGACATGAATCTTGTGGTCAATGTACTCCATGTCGTGAAGGTACTGCTTGGTTACAAAAGATGATGGATAGATTTGTTATAGGTCAAGCTACTGAAAAGGAAATTGATATGATTTTTGAATTAACTAAAGAAATTGAAGGTCATACAATTTGTGCCTTGGGAGATGCTGCTGCATGGCCAGTTCAAGGTTTAATTAAATCATTTAGACCAGTCATGGTTGATAGAATTAATCAATACAAGAAAGATCATGAAGCTCCTGCTCCAGGTGGTTGGGTTAGTGGTGGTAAGGTTAAAGAAGGTATTGTTGTCGATAACCCAATGCCAGCTGCTCATTAGACCCCTATCATCCCATAAAGCGCACGCTATATGATTCTATATAGTCCCCACGATATTCTGCATGACATAGAGAGAGAAAGTCTTGGGTTTTCTCTTTTTTGTACATTTTTACACATTCCACCTACCATTTGGTTTTCACATGATGAAAGCTTACAAATAAAAAAAAATTGAGTAAATCGTCATATCTTCCCCTCCTTTTCTTCCCTTATCTTAATTGGAAGAGTGAAGTTTTAAGGTTTAAGGTTTTTGATTTTACTTTGTACATTTTCCATAAGTTTTTTTACTTTCATATTTGGTTTTAGTTTTGTTTATTATTATTATTTATATTTATAATGTCCCCCCACTTTCAGTTTATACTCTTTTGTAAATACTCAAAGATCCAGTCGCGTAAATCCTCCTCGGGTTAAACCTTCCCATTCTTTGTTCTGAATAATATTTTTTTTTTGGGTCGTTTCGGAGTTTCAACCAACATGATTCAAAAATTAAAAAAAAAAAATCTTTATTTCTTTCTTTTATTCTTTATTTCATCATCAAACTTTAAGTGAATTTTATATAGAAGGATTCATATTGTAAGTTTACATTATCCATAGTATATCCATAGAACATATACTTAGATAAGTTATCTCCAATATAGAGGGAATACATAGCCTAGAGGAAATAGATAGTCTTTTTCGTATCTCATCCTAAATATAGAAATTTATACAACATAGCCTTTGGTAATCCAACGCGACCACGTCATACCCGACAGACTTAATAGAATCTAAACAATAATGAAATATTCAAAGTTACTACTTGCATTAACCTTAACATCAGTATCACTAGCAGCAGCAGTCCAAGCAGACGATGTCGCTTTAGGTGCAGCAATCCCCGCCGAAGGATCTGAATCTGACTATGATGCTGCCAAAGGAAATGGTAAACTCAGTGTTCAAGTAATAAACGATCAAGATAACCAACCAACCCCAGATAACCTCAAGAATCCATTAAAACCATACAATAGTAGTGATTCAGAAGACGATGACGACGAAGAAGTTGAATCATCATCCTATAATTCATTTATAATGTCAATTTCAATGATTATAGTTTCTGAAATTGGAGATAAGACATTCTTAATTGCTGCATTGATGGCAATGAGAAATTCTCGATTAGTTGTATTTTCAGCGGCGTTTAGCTCCCTTGCAGTTATGACAGTTTTATCTGGTATAGTCGGACATGCATTACCGACATTAATTTCACAAAGATTGACACAATTTTTAGCATCGATTTTATTTGTGGTATTTGGAATTAAATTATTAAAAGAAGGTTTATCTATGTCTAAGGATTTAGGTGTAGATGAAGAATTAGCAGAGGTTGAAGAAGAAATCGCGTCAAGCAAATTAAATTATCAATTAAATGATATCGAAGGTGGTATAAAAGAATCAAAACCATCCAAAACGGAATGGTATCAAGAAGTAGGTCAACAAGTTGAAGATTTAGCTTCATTCATACTTAGTCCTGTTTGGATTCAAGTATTTGTTATGACTTTTTTGGGTGAATGGGGTGATAGATCACAAATTGCAACTATTGCCATGGCTGCTGGTTCTGAATATTGGTTTGTTATTATGGGTGCTATTATTGGTCATGGGCTTTGTACTGCTGCTGCATGTCTTGGTGGGAAATTGTTAGCTAAGAAGATCTCAATGAGAAATGTTACTTTGGGTGGTGCAATTGCATTCTTTATCTTTGCTATGTTATATTTTTATAATGCTTATTATGATATCGAAGGATAAGAGGAAAAAGTTTAGGGTTTGGGAACGTTTGGTACAATCCATTTGTTTCGCAATGTTAGTTTATAGAACCGGTTGTTAGAAGAGGTATGTAATAATTAGTATTTACCAAATTATTAAGTTTGCATTTTATGTTAACTACTTGTAATATAAAAAGTAATGAAATTACTGTATGCTTTTATATCTGACCTTGATACATAAATTTCAAGACTTGATTAGGATGTAATCCTTTCTTCCCACCAGTAGTAATCTTCAATTCTTGTTCTTCACGTTTATTCTCAACTTCTTTCTTTTCTTGAGCTTCTAATTTTCCTTGAGGAGTTTCCAAATAATCCAATTCTTCCATTGTATGAAATCCATAGAATTGAAATTCTTCTCGTAATTCTTGAACTTTGGCAAAACACCATTGTGCTAATTCATCCCGTTTTGCCAAGCTTATCTTATCATCTGAATCACTCTTATTTAAAGCACTAGTTATCCATTCATCAACTTCAGGCAATGCTTTCTTTCGAAGTAATGTTGTCAACAATCCTTCTTGAGCACTAGTTGGGAAAGTAGGAGTTGGATATGCATTTGTATTTTTCAACAAATCTTCATTTGAATTTAAAATGGCTGCGATTGAACTTAATTGGGTAATTAAGACTTGGAATTGATTTTGGAAATGAGAATAGGTTGGAAGTTTTATTTTATTTGGATGTCGATTATGACCATTGATTTGATCAGCTAGTTTGCGTAGAGAGAGATGGATTTGGTTTAGACGATTTCTTATCGATTCAAGGGAATCAGTTGGGATTTGTGAAAAGTCGGTTGGTGGTATTAAGGGTGGTGTATTATTTGCAAAGGGTGTACTCATTGATGTCATGGTTGTATAGTTGTGGTTATATTAAAATGATGGTATAAAAGAAAGTATGGTTTTTTTATGAGGTTGATATTGAAGCAAAAAAAATTGTTGTTGATCTAAAAGTAGTTTTAACCAAATGGGTATGAGAGTTAACCAGATATGATTAAAGGCAATTGGAGTTTATCAGCAGAATTAAAACAAAATGAACGAAAGCGACAATCAAAAATTCAACAACGACAAAAACATCAATTTAAATTAGATAAATTAAAACAAATAGATCCAATTAAATTATATCATCGTATCAAGAGATTGGAAGAACAAGAATCAAGATCAATTAAAGATGATGAATATTTAAACAATTTACAACAAGATTGGGAATTTATAGAAAAGAATAAATTACATCAATTAAAGATTAAAACCTTCTTTGATAATCAACAGAAACTACAACAACAGAAACAAAAGGAATTAAATAAATTATGGGGACAGAAATCTATTTATTTTAATCCAGAATTAAATCCTCTTGGTAAAATACCTGATATAAATAATCTATCAGAAAGGTTAGAACCATTAGAGAATTTAACAATACCATTAAAGAATAGGAAGCAAATAACAAAATATGAATCAGACCCACTTATTCAACAATTGAATATTAAGCTTCCATCTGGGGACCCTCCAAGATTCTACAAATTAATTCAAAATACATCTAAACCAAAACCAAAGGTAAAAATAGATGAGGCAGAGGGAGATGATGAGGAACTCCAAGCTAAACAACTTAATGAATCAGATGCTTCTCCTGTTGATTCATCTGATAATGAAGATGAAGAAGAAGAAGATTACAATAATCATAAAAAACCAAAGCTAGTTTAAAAACGTATATGTTCATTAATATAATTTATAAATGTCTTGCATCAAACATTCCTCAAATTCATATTTACAAGTGTAAAAAACTATATAACAACACCTAAAGAAATATTCTCAAACAACAACATCAACAACATTATCAATCTAACCTAAAAAAGATACTTGTACAAAATAAAAAAAACACCATTATGATAATACTCATAAAACAAAATTAAAAACACCCAATTAAAATATTTACATGGAAAGGAAAATCTTCTCATTAGTTTTGAAACTCTCTATATATCTCAGGGGGATGATGAAAAGGAAGAACGTGGGGGGATATGGGGTAATTTCAATCATGACAATAATCTAACAACCAATTCCCAAGTACCAAACATTATAATGGAATTAGGAACAGTTCTTAATAAATGAGGTGTTAAACCACCATACATACTGATGAAACCTTCTTCTTTCATTACCAATCTAAACGTTTGAATTAATCCAGTATATTTTGGTTTCCCATCTATAGGAGCTTGTCTTAAACGAGTTCTAACAACTTCATGAGGATATGTCACCAAGGAAGCACAGAATTTTGCCGCACCTGCTGCCCCTGATCTAGCACACCATTCCATTATATGATCTTTGGTTGTCTTATTAATTGGATTTTCACCATGTATTTGCAATGATCTCTTATTAATAAACATCTTCATTTGTTCATACAATACCCATTGTATAGTAGATTCAACTCCTCCTAAATATGAAGCAGTTAACCCACGATATAATCCAAATATACCTTCAGTTCTGAAGACATGTTTTAAACATTGCCAACTATTCTTGAAATGTTTACCATTTGATCTATCTAATTGTAAACGGGTCTTAATCAACCAAATAGGATTAGTTGCAGTAGAGGTAACAATCCCGGCACTTATACCAGAAACTAAATGCATCCAGGTTTCTTCCTTTTGTTTTGGTGATGCATTAATAAGTAAATCTTTACTAAAACCATATGTGAAAAAATTAATTGATCTTGCTGGAATCACACCAACTAAATTTGGTCCTAATCCTTTAAATAAAGCCGATGAACCTTCTTTCACATATAATTCACGAAGAGCCAGTCCGGTTTCACCAAAGTGTTGTGCCATTTTTATAATCGGATTTGTGGATTTCGGGGTCTTATTATATGCGGAATGATAAACATCAGATTGCAATCTAGTTTTAACAACATCTAAAGGACATGTAAAAATAGCACCTGCAGTACCTCCTATACCACCTGCAATGAAATGAACCCAAGGTTTTACTTCTCTAGGTTTTGTTTCCTGTTTCGGTGGTTGGACTACTTGGATTTGGAACTCATCCTTTGCTTGTCTATGTGTGGAGGAATACTCATCGGATGCTAAGAAGGGATAAGCAATTTCCGCATCTCTTTCCAATGTGATCAATCTTTGTTCTTTAGTGGCAGACATGATTTGTTCTATTATTAATTATGTGAAGGTTGTGGTACAAGGGGCGTTGTGGTATATGGCAAAGGGGGGAGGGTTAATATATACAAGGAAAGCTTTTCAACTTAAAAATGGAATTAACCTTAAAAGGAGAAAGATCAAGAAGAAGGGGAAGTGTTATTTGAAAAATTTATCAAAAAAAAACTTTAAAAAAAAACATAGGTTCATCTCTAATCCGCATTTTGTGAGGCTCATATTTTTTTTCTTTGTTTGAATTTTCTTCGATTTGCTGACCAATCCCTGCATATAAACAACAACGAATAAACTCATCGCTTATGGTAACCTTAAAAATAACATACAATTACATAACTTTTGTGTATTAAAAATTAATTTTACATACCCTAAACTTTCTATTTAAGTGTTTTAATAAAATTATCAAGATTATATTCTTCTTCATATTGTGATTCATCCCATAAGGCTGATAATTCACCAACTGCTCCAGCAGCCTTACCAGTAAGACCACCAGCTAAATCTTCTGGCATATTATTATTAGTAGCATCTTTTCTATCACCAGATTGTTGATCTTCACGTTCATCTCCTGTACTTGTAACTGCAGCAGTAGCACTTTCATCCACATCAAAAAGATCTAACAATTGATTAGTATCCATTGATTGTAATCCTGCATTTTGTTGATTAACGATTGTAGATGCGATATTCATCTTGAATTTTTGTAATCCCATAATCTTTTCTTCTAATGTATCCTTGGTGATTAATCTATAGACATTCACCACTTTCTTTTGTCCTAGTCTGTGAGCTCTATCCATGGCTTGTAAATCTTGCATAGGGTTCCAATCATGTTCAACAAATATAACAGTATCGGCACCAGTTAAGTTAAGCCCCAACCCACCAACTTTCGTAGTTAACAACAATATATCAATTGATGGATCCTCATTAAATTTACGAACAATAGATTGACGTTCTCGTGGATCAGTACTACCATCTAATCTCATATATGTAACTGACGGTAAATGTTTCCTCAACAATTCATTCTCAACAATATCTAACATATCTTTCAATTGACAGAAAATCAATGCACGATGTTCCGATATCACTCCTTCAGCAGAAATTAATTGCAGCTGTTGTTGTTTTTGTCTCTGTTTGAACTTATTCGAGAGATAATCACTATCATTAACACCAATACCACATTCCAATAACAAAGTCTTCAATGACAACAATTTAGGTGAATGTTCAATACTTCTTAAATCTGAATTTCTCTTCTGTAAAAACTCAGAAACTTCAGCGTATTTTGGATGCAGTTGCGACAATACTAATGCAGGATGATTACATAATTTCCTCATATATTGTAATGCTTGGAATACATGTGTCTTACCTTCTTTTTCTTTCCCTTGAGTTGTGACCTCTTCTTGAACTGTAGCTTTTTGTGATTTCGCAAAATCCTTATATAATTTCCGTTGTAATTCACTCAATTCACAATAATAATCTTGAATAATCTTTGGTGGTAAATCAGATAAAACATCTTCTTTAAGACGACGTAACATAAATGGTAAAACTTGTTTATGTAAGGATTCCAATGCTAATGCACCTGCTTCTTGTTCCTTTGAAGATGTTTTACTATTTCTACTGGCTGCAATTGGTTTAGCAAACTTTTCATGGAAAATCTTTTCAGTCCCCAAAAACCCAGGCATTAAGAAATCAAACAATGACCATAATTCTAAAACATTATTTTGAATTGGAGTACCAGATAAAATCAACCTATGTTCAGCTCTTACTCTCTTAACCGACTTAGTCAATTTTGAAGCAGCATTCTTGATGATATGACCTTCATCCAAAACACAATAATTATAATCTTGACTAGAAATATAATCAACATCATTTCTACTCACATCATATGAAGTAACAACAACATCAACATCGGCAAACTTTGATCTTAATGGAATTCTTGTTGCTGGATTACCAGCATATACTAAAACACTCATAAATGGAGCATATTGATTAATTTCTTGTTCCCAATGACCAGTCAATGAAGGAGGACAAATGACCAATGACGGCAATCTTCTAAATTCAGGTGATTGTGTTTCTTTGAATCTATCAGCTCGAATATGATGATCTGATGACATAATACAAATGGTCTGCAAGGTTTTACCCAATCCCATATCATCACATAAAATTCCATGTAAATGATATTTATTCAAGAAATGTAACCAATTAACCCCCTCTTGTTGATATTTACGTAATGTAGCTTTAATAGTCACTGGTAAATCAAATGGTTTAATTTTGGTAGGATCCATCATCTGTTGAATAAAATCACGTTCACGATCTCTTCCTTCTAATAATTCTTGTGGCATATCTTCAGGATCAGGAATACCAGCTTCCAAGGGTACTAATTTAATAATAGCTGCAAATGTTGTGGTTGCTAATACACGTACATCATGGTCTGAATCACTCATTCTACCCAAAACTGGAACAATTAAGAACACAATATATGGTAAAATGTCTGATCCCATAGTTGTAGAAATATGATAGATAGTTTCAATAGCCCCCTGTCTTTCTTTGATTGAACCGGCATTATTTAACATTGGCAATACTGATTTAACCAAGAATGTAAATGCTTTAGTTGGGACAACTGAACAAATGGTTGCCAAACATTTTGCTGTTGAATAACGGAAAACTGAATAATCAGATTTTAAACCGGGTAATAATAACTCCAAATTATCGGTGATCTCGGGATATAATGATTTATCCAACTTAGGTAACAAAGCTCTCAAAATACCCAAAGCATCAATAATACTCTGACATTTCAATTCATCTTTGACAATTTCTTCACTGGATGAATTTTCCAAATATTTCAATGGATCAATCATAATTTCTTTCAATTTTGGTACTTCATCAAATAATTTAGATAAATAAATCTTCAATAATTCTTCTAAAGCCATCAATGACCCATTTCTTTTGATTCTAGCCTCATATACTGCTCGTTCATGAGCAGCAAGGTCAACTGGATCACTCTTTGCTTCTTCTTTTCTTAATGATAATATATTGTTTGTAAAACTAACATTATGATGAAATTCAGGTACTTCAGAAGTATCAACACATAAAAATGCACAAAGATTTTTCACAATTTTATCAGCTGGTCCCTTTTTACCAATTAAATTAAGTTCTTTGATTAATTTAGCCATAGCTTTAACCGAACGTTTTTGTAAGATTAATGTTTCTTCTGATTTTATGCTATCCATTAATGATCGAATTATTGGGTTGAGTTTCTTTGGAACACCAGATAACGATAAAATAGCAGATGCGTAACCGGCCAATATACTATTTATTCTTCCAGTACTTGCAATTCGTGCTTCATCAATGGCAATTGTGATTCTATACTTTGCATCGTCAAGGGCTTGATTAGCGGATAATCTATAAGTTGTCGATAATGATTTCTTTAATTTGTCAAATGTTTCATTGCATAATTTTTCAGCATTCTCAATTCCAAATGCACTTGGACCAGCATCTGCTTCTCCTTGAACCACTACAGGTAGTTGTGGGATCTTTGATGGTGAAATCTTGGCAGTATTTATAAACACATCAAATAGTTGTAAACATGAAGTTCTCACTGATTTTAAAGTAGGTACCAATTCACGGAAATGTGGTAATGTTTCTGGTGATAGTAAAACATTTAATAAAGTCTCCGAAAGTAAATCCACTATTTTCCCATTCACTTTAATATCCCTAGATTCTAGACAAGCAGCATATTCTTGAATGATAAATGAACCAAGTAATCTAGAAGTTGCATGTGGTGACTTCAAATAATTTAAAATTGATGTAAATATTTTCAATAACGTTTCTTCCGATTCCAAATATGCCAAAATAGTACCATATGCATGAGCTGCAGAACATCTACATGCAATAAATCTATCATATCCAACTAGCATAACATCACCTTTATACATTGGAGCATCTATATTAACTTTCAAATCTTCAATTGGGATATCTGAATTGGATTCTTCTTGTGGTTTTCTCTTTTTCCCACGTTTATCTTCATCGTCTAGAGGACCAAGCAATTGCCCGGATGGTCTCATGATTAAGGAGGTGTTCATTTGGTAATTATGTCTTGAGATCCCAATAGGAGTCATTGTCAATGTTAATAATGCAGTTGCTTGAGATGTAAAAATCTTATCGACTTTAATGGTCTTGCTTGTACTGATTTCCAATAATAATTTATCAAATACTTCAGTAGATAATTTTAATACATCTTGATTCTGTTCAACTAGCAAATTTTGAAAGATTAATCTTAAGGTTTTGGAACCTATCCAAGTTTTAGTCGCTGGATCATCAATTGATAAAAATTCCAAAATAGTTCTCAATACTGCTTTTCGCACATTTGTAATTGAGTGTCTTAAGAATGGAAATAATCTTGGCACCAAATTTTCAAAAGAATTAGCATTATTCTTAATAGCTTCCTTTTGCATAATTTCTATCACCTGCTTATGACTACATAATTTTGCTAACAAATCCATAACTGAACCAATTGATGCTGATAAGTCATCACGAAGATTAACAAGACAATCCCAAATAACAGTTAATAAAGTATGAACTGAGCTTTTCATTGTTGAGACAAAATCTGATGCAATTGGTGTCAATGTTAATGCAGCAACAGCTTGAACATCATCGTCACTTTCTTTTAATCCATGTAGCACCATATTAACCACTTTATCTAACATATCTGGATTCTTCAATAATATATCAGTTCTAACACTTACAAGGTATCTTACACCTAACATTCCACCATGCTTTGCTTCCCAACATTTTGGAACTAGCTCTTCTTGTAAAACCAAGGTATTCAAGCAATCAAAAGTCTTGATGACAGTTTCATCATCCAAATGAATCAATAACGCCGCCAATGTTTGTGCACAAGATTCACGAACAGGTGCAACAACAGTATCACTAACATAATCTCCAAATCGATCAAGGCAAAACAAAATACATAGCCTAACTGCCAAATCTTCCAAGGTAGCTGCATTATTTCTATCATTATCTTCACGGGGTTTGTTCATAACTCTACCGGCACCTTTACCGTGTTTTCGAATTAATTCTCTTAATCCCAATGCGGCACCATGTCTGATTTCCCATTTATCATCAAATAAATCTGCTAATAGCAATTCATAAACACCTTGGAATTGCCATACTAGTCCGGCTACTTTGCTATGCTGAGATAATAATGGTGATAATTCGGGTGCTTTTGTTTCAACCACTAATTTTTCTCCACCTTGTTGAGAAGTAATATCGAATTGGGGTGATTCAGAAGTAGGACTATCTATATCCATTCCTTCTCCATTTTCAATCATTTGTCTCGAGATTGAACTTTGAGAAATATCAACTGTTTTCACTCTATTTGCATTTGATTTGGCATTGACTTTTGCTCTTCTCTTTTGAATTGCTTTCAATCTTGCACTTGAAACTGGCTTAGATGAGGGTTGTACTGGGGATGGTGTTGCAGATGCACTTGGTGTGTTGCTATATTCAAGTTTGATTTCTGGATTTTGTTCTAGTTTCATATCTTGTGGTGTTGGACTTGCTGTTTCGGACCTATCCATGTCTGTATCATCTACTTCGGGTTTTAATATTGAAATTCTATGTCGTTTTATCTTTGCAATTAATGTTCTATCGTCATCATTAACCGTATCGTCGTTATTTTCGTCTGATTTCGTTGCTAATAATTTCACATGACTTTTAATTAATTCATGTAGGCTGAATGAGTTAAAATCAACTAGATTTGATAAATTATCATCCAACTTTTTCAATTCCTCATCTTGTTCCAATTTAATTTTTATTTCTTCATCTTCTTGTTTCACAATTGTAGACTCAGTTAATTCTTGTTTTACAAGATTAGCTTCGTCTTGCTCAAGCTTAATTGCTTTTTCAGAATTTGGATCCCATATTTCTGCATTGTTAACAATTCCACCAAATGCTCTGGCGGCAGAAATTCTTGTTTCCCATTTAGGTGATTTTAAATAAGGATATACCCTTCCTAATAAACTAATAATTTCTTCTGGATGTCCTTTTGCTAAATCTGATAATTGATCAGCAGCTGTATTTCTTATAAATGGAGTCGAGCCTGTCTCTAATAGAATTACCAATCGGTCTAGTCTGGACATGTTATATAAATTTGTGAATTTGGTAGCGATGCGACAGGTAGTTTTTTCGATGACTTTCTCTGTTGTATGTATGGAGAAAGCTCTTTAATTCTATAATAAGTTTTAGTGGGACTGAAACTCTTTTTGAGCACTTTTTAGGTTCTATATGAAGTCAATGTTATATATAGTGAGGTCGTGTTAACTATAAATATTTTTAGGATTGAAATTGATGGGGCAACCAATTGTGTTTTGATCTCTTTTTTTTGGTTGTTTGGAGTTTGATCTAGTTGAGAGAAGAAGCCAGAATTTTTTTTGAACAATTCTTGTTGTATTTATATTTAATAAAAAGAAGGCGCGAAGGGGGTTTTTGCAATTTTCTATTGTGCTTGTCATTGCGATTTTATTAAATTTTTTTTTTTTCTTCTGCGCTTTCTCATTTGCTTCAAACAATTCTACAATTCAAGTTGTTTGTAGAAACAATTAACAATTCAAAACAGCAAGTCAAATCTCACAACCTCAAATTATTGTATTGATCTTCTTTGTGGTAGTAAGAAAATAGCTTGCGTGGTCTTAAACTCATCTTAGGAATTAAAACAAATTGCAGTTTATGGCGGGAAACAAATCACCTCGTACGTTTTTCTAACTGCAATTTTTTACAGCCACCAACAGAAACCAACACCTGAACTTCTTTACCTTGGCGTTGGATCTACATCTAAAGTTAAGGATAAGAAATACTACGATTACGTTGAAGAAGGTATTATCATACAATTATTTTACTCTCACAATCCTTCTTTCCCATCTACTGTTCCTCCTCCTCCTTTTTACTTGTATGACAAAAGAAAAACTGAAGAGTAACCACAAAAATAAAACAAAGAAAATTTTTGAAACGACGAAAATGCGGGTAACGTTCATATTTCCATCCGGGTAACGCATGTCCTTTTATATTATCAAAATTTTTGAAATTTGGAGAACGGAAATAATATTTGCATCGCAACTTTCTTCTTCTGCTTCTTTCGTGTTACGTTAATTTACTATATACACTAGATTGTTTACAATTATATCCTAACCAGGGCTGTCTTTATGATAGATACAACTCCCATCATGTAAACTTCTTTTCTCTCGATTGCCTAACTTCTTTCTTCTTGGATTCAATTTCATCTCTAGTAGCATTAAAATGAATATTTGTAACTTGATTCATAGGATTTTCCGGGGACTTTTGGAATTCTCTAAATATTAAATGCTTAATCTGTTGCAATCTTAATCCAGGATGTTCCTTTCTCAATTCAGGTAATCTCTTATCTTCATAGTCAGCGTAAGCAGCTTTAACTCTTCTTTCAGGATGTCTTTCAATATCTTTATCTTTAACACCTCCTGCTGTTGAAGTCAATGCTAATGCATCCAAAGCACCTTCAATTCCACTAGCACTTAATTCTGGCTTGTCACTATTAAAATCAAGGAAATCATCAATCTTCCCTGCTCTTTTGGATGCCACTTTTTCGGCACCTCTTTGTTTTGATTTAATTGGTTTAGAAGGCAAACTTGCTTCTTCGGCTTGTAATAATGCATCACGCTCAGCCTTCTTACGTGCCGCTTCTTGCTTTTTGAATTCTTCTTCTTCCTTCTTTTTATTTCCTTTCTTACCACCTTGCTCCCATTTGCCGGCTTCTTCAGCTTCAAATGCATCAAGAGCTGCTTGCTTCTTGTTGGCTGCTTGTTCGGCCTTTCTGGTTTGACCTTGAGCCTTCTTTGAGTTTTCTCCTGTCTTCTTTGCCATTGTATGTTTGTTAACTTGTTTCAAGAAGAAGAGAAAAAGAATCGTTCGGAGTGATGACAAATTTCTGATGAAAGGATTCCGAAATACGGAAATCTACACAGCAACTATTTTTTTTTCTTTTGGTGGCACGCGAATGTTCCATTTTGTATTTTTGCAGTTATAAATAAAGAGAATACGAGTTAACCTAGAATCTAGAAGAATTGGCATTTGGTTTGAATACAACTCTTCCAGTGACTTTACCAGAAACTAAATCTTCAATAGCTTGGGGTAATTTTTCAAAATCCACAATATGGAAATTTGGTTTAATTAAACCACGTTTAATCCAATCCATTAATTCAATTTGTTCAGCTGAAGTTCCACCGTGATTGAAAATAAGATTAACCTCACGAACTGATAACGGATAGTTTGGAATAAGTAATTTTCCTCTTCCTAATCCAATCATAGAGATAGTACCTAATTTCTTAATATATTTATCAGAAATATTGAATGTTGGTTGAATACCAACGAAGTCAAAAATGATATCAAATGAACGTGGTGCATGAGCAGACTTATTAAGATCAGTGTAGAACTCGTTAGCACCAGCTTCGAGAGCAATGGCCTCAATATCTGGCTTTGCATCAGTTGCTACAATATGACAATTGAATTGTTTTATAATTTGAACTGCATTAAGACCTAAACCACCACATCCTTGAACCAAGACTTTACTGGTTGGTTGAAACAAATGTTTAACTTTTTGAATGGCATGGAATGGAGTTAAAACAGAATCAGTACTAACTGCAGCCACTTCATAACTAACTCCATCTGGAATAGGTAACATACTTCTAACATTCTTAACCAATAAATATGATTGGAAACCACCATCTTCATTTAATCCATGAACTTGACGAGATTCAAGACAATTGGTATCTAATCCTTTTCTACAACTAATACAGTATCCACAAGCCAATTGTGGTAACATAGCAAATCTTCCTCCGACTTTATATATTGGATGATCCTTCAATCCACTTCCAACTTCAACGATTTGTCCAGCAATTTCATGTCCCATAACGAATTTATCAGCCAATGGTAATGGTGGCTTACTTTCAACGGGTCCAGCTTGTAATAAATGTGGATCAGAAAGACATAAACCAGCAGCTTCAATTCTTAATAAGACTTCATTAGCCTTGGGGGTTGGGACTGGACGATTGTCGAATCTGGTGATTTTTTTATTTTTTGAATCGTATCCAAAGGCAGTTTGTGTTCTCATCTTGTTTCTATGTTGCTTTTTTTAGAAGGTTTGTTTCTATTTTGTTTGGCTAGAAGGTTTGGTGTTATGGCATTGATGGATAAAGGGTATTCATTGGGATTTATATAAATGTGAAAAATATACTGTGGGGGAAAGATATGATTCCCCCCTCTGCATTTTTAGTCGCGGAAAAATCCTTAATTTTTCCATCACCAAATCTGTTTTTGGAAGAATTTTTTATGGGCTTTTTGTCCTCGGATAATTCATTAGGTAAGGGATATGTCGGCCTACAATCCCGGATTGAGATTCTCCACCAAAACCGCTGATAAGGAAAGGAAAGAGAAGGGCTCTGTTAGTTGACTGAAGAGATCCTTGCATATGAAAGATACTACTTTAGATATTTCCTATTGACCTCCCGCACCGCATGTTTCCTAAGCCTTCTGGAAGCTGCGACGTATTGATGGAATAGAATATGACCAGTGTAGTGCAACTGTGGATATTCAAGAGCTGTTGACTATTTATTAGAGTTCTATATATACATGTAAACTCCAGAAATTTGGTATAACAAAGAAATGTTGGTTGACCTCTTTCCCCTAGCGCTACGCAATTCTGCTGCAAATTTCCCAAGAGAGACAAGCTGCAAAAACAAGCGTGCTTCTACTATAGTAACTAAAGTTTGACAGTGGAAGCACAAAAATGTCTTGTATTAGACCGTCCCAGCGACTGTATATTAGATATCGTAATGAGCCAATGTTCGTTGTATCTATGAAGACAGATAAGGGGTTGTTTTCGGAACAAATCCCAAGACTCTCAAAATGATGGATTCACGGGTAATTATTCTCAAATCCCAAAAGATTCAAGAAACAGATAAGGTAGCGGACCAATCAGAGCATTTTCAGAAATCACCAGAGTGTAATAAGTTGTACACGGGACCCACGTCGTGAGCTCCTCTATACCACATATTTACCAATGATCGAAGGTCCATAATCTCCCCGTTTTCTTCAATAAGATGGAGCACATAACCACTCCTTAAATGTGTATTACAGAAGCATACTAGGTAGAGTCAGAGTCCAAGTTGATTATGTACTCATTAACGACAATTAGGATTAAGTGATTTAAATGGGAAGCTTAGTTGAGAGAGGTTGGATATTACATCTTCGATTAGCGCTAGATGATGGGCGGGTGATGGATTTGTAATTGAGAGCTAGATTTTTGGAGGTATGGTGGAAGTAGCCAGGGCCCATTGATTCATCTTCGATGTCAACTAGTTTCGCTAATTGTTCGGGAGCTCAACTGGAAGATGGTTGTGGAGTGTGTATCTTATTGTCCAAAACCTCGTAGGTCCAGGGCCGGCCCAAATTGTGGAGAAGAGCAATCTTTTCAAGTTCCTCAAAATGAAGCAATATTATCCCCCATTCTGTTTCAATATGAATCTATGGATGACATGATTGGTGTTGAAGAACAACGTACTATTGATAAACTTTGATGAGATTTTCTGAAATTTCCCAGGTTGGTTGTGTACCGTGTCAAATCTTAATGCTTGGATTTCAATTTTGAAACTAGCAGGAATAATGTGTTTAAAGTATATTCCGGTGTAAATAAGTTGATTATGTGTTTGAGTCTTCGCCTTAGAGTTTGTGAGTATCGAATGGCCAAAAGTTGCCTAGATGTTTGGAAACTTAAACACGTGTCATAGTAATCCCTGGTTTCCGAATCTCAAATGGGCTGGTAAATCTTGTCATGATCTACAGATGGGATTTGTTAATGTAAATCCCGATAGGAGAGTTTCCGAAAACAAAACTTAATGACCGGGATCATTATGATGGTGGGAACGTCCAGAAGCGGGTTTTGCGTAAGCTGGCTGTTGAAGCCAGGAAAAAAGCACCTGCATAACCTGAGTCAGGGCTTCTAACAGAAATGACTTGTTCAATGTTATATTGTGAAATAAGTTGGGTCTATTGGGTTGAAAAGAAAAGGGCTTGGCACTTGGCTTTATGTAAATGAAACCTTGAGTGCTTTTCAACTAATAGCATCAGTACCCTTAGCAGGACATGTTCTTTTTGTGAAATGATGTTGATGATATCCTGTAAAGAGGAACTGGAATCGATCAATTGGATTCCATACATACACTTAAAGCAAAGTAAAGAAATCCCCGATAATGCAGCGAAAGATTGTTTGTTGAAATTTAAATTACATAGAAGGAGGATTGGTTGAACCAGCTGTGCGTATGCTTAATATATTTTCCTACGTATGTACTAGCATCTTAATTTCTTGGTCTATCCCTGGTTTCTCTACCCTCCTTCTTATTTCAGCTAAGCTGAAATGGTATGTGCATATACTAGTTCTAAATAAACCTTCATGACACAAAGCCAGTACTTCTCTATGCACCAAAAAAAATCTAAAAATGGGTAGGTCAAACGCAATAGTTTCATGTTGAGAGCTTGTTGTCAGAATCGAATGGGCTGATTATTGGTGCAATTCCATGGCCTATATGTGGTGTCGCTTATTCTACCCGTGTCGTCCAGCATGTGAAAAACCTTTCTGGAGATCTTTCACGGAATCTGAGGCATGGCGCAAGATTTTATAGTTTTGTTCCAAACACCTTCATCCCCTAATTCAACTGCTCGTGTCTTAATAAATGATATATTATAAATGCTCGTGGTTCTAAACCCGTGGTCCAGTGGTTCTCCATTTTTCTTTTTACTGTGCCAACCAAAAGATAATATTTGGCTGCAAAAAAAATTCAAGATTCCAGTGGAAATGGTATCTGACGGAGTTCAGAATACAAGGGCACGTTCATCAAATTTAGCTTTTTAAGTTCCAGCATCGACTGTAGAAATTAAAGTTTCATCATTAACTTTAACTTTATTTTTTTTAGACAAATAGCTAAACCTATGTTTATTAATACTTTTATACACTGTTATACAAGCTAACAAAGAAACCCCGATAGGTCAAACCGCTTTGTCATGGGATCATGGTGGACTCTCTTTGTAGTTAGAGTTACAGTGTTTGTTAGAAATTCATATGGAATTTTTTGTTTTTGAGATTCCGGACCATTTGCGTTACCTGTCCCACCTCTAATTTTCGCATATCATTCACAGCCCTGGTCACGTATTATAATTTGAATAACCGACTTCTGTATCAAATCTCCTGAAACTTCTTATTCGTTTCAGTTGAAATTTCTCACTTAATATGTGAGATTGCCGCAAAATGCATCGCGCCATTGATATTCGTACCGGTTTTTATTCAATGTGAAATTTACGCTAATTATAGAACCGGGGAATGACTATATAATGAGAAGGATTGCCCTTCGCAGAGTACATTCCAATAATCTTTCTACAAACATGGAAAAAAACAACGATTTAAATGAACGTAATTAACGTAAAAAGTTCGAAACACAGCGCCGTCTGGTCGACGATATATTTAAAAGTGTGAATTCAATTGAGTTCAGTGATGATTATGATGATTGGCCATTTGCCGGTCCCACCTTTACTGAATGGGCTGTTGATATGTCTTGGGAGATTGATGGTTCAAAAGTTGCTCCAGGAGATACGTTTGAATTATACATGTTGTGCGTTTACAAGGTCACTAGTTATGATGATCCGATTGAATTAAGAGCGGGAGATATTGTTTATGCCACTTGTCTTCCAGTTCATGGGGAAGTGCTGTTATTCTATTCGTATTTGAAATGTACTATTGAAGATACGGTGACCCCAGATCTTTTGGTCCAAGGGGAGGTTGAATTTCCTGTTGTGTTCAACGCTGGAGGAACTTCGGGCGATAGTGATTTAATATGTGCCGAATATTTCCAAGAAGGAGAAAATACGATCCGCTTTACTGATAATAGTGGGGATCTTCTAGAAGCCACTGCTGTTTTCGAAGGGGGAGCTCTTGGACCACCGGTAGATGATATTGTGTTCCACAATAGAGAGATACCAGACTCTCGCTATCAGGCTCATGATCTTTTGGCTGGTAATTGTGAAAACGGCTATAAATCAGGTACTCTAGGAATGAATTTAAGAAGTGGTGGTAGTTTCATATGTGACAGTGTGAAAGCTGCCATTACAGACCAGTTAAACGATTGGTTCATTCCAGCAAATGCTTCTCCGTATCCCTTTGAGGTTGAATGTACCGAAACTAATATTACCGTTAATTATGGGGAAATCCCTGCAGGATATAGACCCTTTATGGACTCAATACTTATTCCTCCTTCGGGTTTAGAACAATATGTTATGCAATATGTTAATAGATACACATGTGCTGATTCGATTGACGAAGAAGATAAGCTGTTAATCCTTGCTTGGGAAGCTTATGTAGATTACGAACCTCCAGAGGCTGAAGGGACCAAGTATGAATATGTAACTTCCACTGGGGATGGTCATAGGATTTCTACCCTTCCTTATGATGAAGGTGCTCTAACAGTTACAATTCTTGTTGAGGTTCCAATTCCAACTGTTACTGTTACTACTGAATACCATGGAGATAGTACATCTTGTACCCTTATTTACACCGCAACACCTGGAGAAACGGCTAGTGTTCTCTGCTATGAACCTATTGATCCCGAACCTACACCTGTTGATCCCGAAAGCACACCTGTCGATCCAGAATCTACACCTGAAGATCCTGAAAGTACACCTGATGATCCTGAAAGTACGCCCGGAGATCCCGAAAGCACACCTGTCGATCCAGAATCTACACCTGAAGATCCTGAAAGTACACCTGAAGATCCTGAAAGTACACCTGTTGATCCAGAACCTACACCTGAAGATCCTGAAAGTACACCTGTTGATCCAGAACCTACACCTGAAGATCCTGAAAGTACACCTGTTGATCCAGAACCTACACCTGAAGATCCAGAATCTACACCTGAAGATCCTGAAAGTACACCTGTTGATCCAGAACCTACACCGGTCGATCCTGAAAGTACACCTGAAGATCCCGAAAGCACACCTGTCGATCCAGAATCGACACCTATTGATCCCGAACCTACACCTGTTGATCCCGAAAGCACACCTGTTGATCCAGAATCTACACCTGTTGACCCAGAGTCTACGCCTGCTGATCCAGCATCAACACCTATTGAACCAGAATCAACACCTGCTGATCACGAAAGTACTCCTGGTGAGCTTGAATCTACACCTGGTGAACCTGAATCTACACCTGGTGAACCTGAATCTACACCTGGTGAACCTGAATCTACACCAGTTGATGCTACTACTCCAGATGAACCAGAAACTACTCCTGAGATCACTCCAGATGAAGTAACAACTGCTGATGAACCTGAATCCAAGCCAACTACTTCGCCAGATGAAGAGACGGTAGAGCTGTTGGATTCAACACCAAGACCGAAATCACCACTGTCGCCAGGTTCACTGCCCTCTGAGAAGAGTGAAATTGATGTATCTACAAAATGTGTGAAACAATGTCAGAGATTATCCCCAGTATGCTTATGCCATTGGAAGACGTTTCTCTACGAACGGACTACCACTGCCACTACTATAAGTGTTCCTGAATGTACAAAAGACGGTAGAGTTAAAACAGTGACGGTTTGTGAAAATAAAACATGTTCAGTTACTACAACTTGGATTGCTTCAACTAAGACCGTTGAACAGCCTGGTGCTGTTATTTCTCCAAAGACACAACCTAGTCCTGCTGCTCCAACAAAGACAGATAAACAACCTGTTCCTGTTCCTGTCCATTCTTGTCCTACAGGCAAACCTTGCTCGGTTCAACCTAGCCCTGCTCCAGAAAATCCTCGTCCTGCTCCAGCTCCAGAACAACCTGCTCCACAACCTGCTCCAGAACAACCTGCTCCAGTTCCCGAACAACCAGAGGTAGTAGCTTCGCAAAAACCAGAACCAGAAGAAACGATGGTTTTGGCAGATAGTGGATCTTTAGGATTGGTGTCACTGTTTGTTATTTTCTTCTCGATTGTGATGTTGCTTTAGTTTATAAGAAATTCTTGTTTGTTTTTTGATCTTTTCTATATATAGCTTTAGTTTATATTTCGTAAATAATTAAATATGCCCTTGTTTAATTGAATCTTTTGAGTCTCATTCACTACTATATGTCACATTTCTCCGACTACAAATGTATTTTTACTGATTTCTTGTTTCAAATATCGTAATCATGTTGGGGATTATTAGAGTTGCATGTTGATATGGCTACAGCGATATGGTTCGAGACACTAATAATATAAATTCTAAAATACAATCTTTACATACATATATAAGAAAGTCAGACAAAACCAAAATCGTTAAAATAAACATGTAATTCCCAGCACAGAAATGAAAAAAAAATGATAATAATTCGAAAGGACCTAATATGGGACGTCTGAAGCTAAAACTATTTTATCTAATTCGTCTTTTGCTTCTTAGCTTCAGGTTCATCCTCCACATCTTCAGCACCATTAGCCACTGGCTTTAAGGCTGGAGTTGTTTGTTGTTCGGCATGATAATCCTTAATTATAGAATCGACATCGTCAATATTCAATTGTCTGACATCACCCAATAATTTAATCTTGGCTGTGACTTCCTTACATTGATCATCAGTTAAATTCAAATTCAATTGATCAACTCTTGATTTAATAGCGTTCCAACCAGTCAACCTGTTAGCAAAATGAATATATCTGGTTAAACCGAAATCGCTTGGGTTTAAGATTTCATAAGTTGAAGGATTGGCCAATATAGCTTTAGCATGAATACCAGCCTTGTGAGTAAAGGCACAGAAACCAGTAATTGGGTTATTGAAAGGAATATTCACTTGTACGGCATCAGCAACCAAGTTTTCTAAATCTCTCAACTTGTGTAATTTATATTTAGATAAGACGTAATCACGATCAGCAGTGATCATTCTGGCCATCAAGGCACCTAATGGAGTAATACCATTACGTTCACCAATACCCAACACTGAGACATCGATTAATTTAGCACCAGCTTCTAAGGCAGTATAGGCGTTAGCAATAGCACATCCAGTATCGTTATGGAAATGACATTCAATATCACATGAAACAACAGACTTTAAGGTCTTGACTAATTCATAAACTTGTCTTGGGTTAGCACAACCGACAGTATCAGCAATACCGACTCTATTCACACCGATCTTGTCAACAGTTCTGTAAATGTTCAATAAATCAACAATATCTGATCTAAAAGAATCTTCGGAACTGAATCTTATTTCAATACCCTTTGATTTAACAAATTCAATAACTTCAATTGCAGATTGAGCAATATAATTCATATCTTTACCATGAGAAAACTTTCTTAAAAACTGGGAAGTACCAATAACGACATCAACTCCGTCAACACCAGTTTCGACCGCCACTCTAGCATCATCCATATGACATCTAATATGAGTTAAGATCTTAGCCTTTAAACCTAACTTACAAATGGCTTCACAATCACGACGAGATTGTTCAGAAGCAACTGGGGAAGTTAATTCGATATAATCAACACCGAAATCATCCAATGCCTTGGCAATTTCAATCTTCTTTTCAGTTGTGAAGAATGCATTGGCGAATTGTTCACCTTCTCTTAAAGTTGTAAGCTATTGAAGCTTAGACGATTGTAAACTATTCTTTAGTCTTCCTACACCTGGATAAGGATTTGATGCAACAGACATTGTAAGTATGTGTGTGTATTGTAATTAAGATAGATAGGGATGAAAATAGAGGAGAAAGGAAGAAAGAAGAAGAAGAAATAAAAAAATTGAAAAAAAGAATTAAGGATTATAATTTATATAATAAGGAGAATTGCAGTGAGAGAAATGAAAAATTTTTCAATTAAATTTATTCTACTAGTTGTATGAGTAAGAGAAGAAATAGAAGGTGTAATTTGATTAAAATAATTTTTTTTTTAATCAGTCACCTTTCCCAATCGGGTAATCAGCGGCAATCCGCACTTCTATCGCAATTTATTTTTTTCCATTGTTGTTGACTACTGCCACTGAAAAATTATGACTCATAATTTAAATTTTAATATAATCAAATCAATTTCCCTAACAAAAAATCAATGAGTAAAATTCTATTTATTTTTACGGCCTTTTGTTTCAAATATGAAACGCACCCCCTTTCCATTGGTTATGAAATCATACTATGTACATGAGCATATTATCCAGTTTTACTTGTGAGGCTTCGTTGGTGCATATATTCAGTTATTTAGTATGGCATATCACTGGTATTACATGTAATATAGTATGAGAATTTTTATGACTCATAGTTCCGAAATGCCATAAATAAATTTAAATCAACTGACTGCGAAAATTATCTTCACGTGACATATGTCCCAAAAATTATGCTTATCGGCTGTCGCGAATGGAGTATATTTCGGAATTGAATTACCAACCAACTGGACGTACGGAATGTTGAATCTTGGCTGGGATAATTCAATTATACTGCAATTAGATGTATGGCCAGATCAATTATAATGAACATCCTACAGCTTACTGACCTCCAATTAAAGCAGACTCTTTACTAGATAATGGATCATTAGAGACTCGACGACATGCAAATTTATTCTCGTACTCGCTCTGAACTGCTTGATCCAGCCAAAACACTTTGTGTGAATGCCCCATTCTCGTTAAATCATTGTTACTTTCTCAATGAGATTAACTATTCCCTGAAGCTACTACTATATCCACTAATAACAGAATGACGTGTTGGATGATTATCAACGCCAAGTCGCGGATTGGATAGTTTTGAAAATGGTGATGTATTTTAAAAAAGCTTAGAAAGGGTTTATAAGAGGAAATTATGTCTTTGGTAATTTGTGAAGATTATTTGAAAGAAACATAATCTAGTCTGTTAACTATTATTACATTCTTTCTTATGTATTCCTATAATAAAACTATATGTAATTAGTGCCTGACGGGAAAGACAAATCTGGAAAACAGTGGAAATTCCCAATTGGACGTTTTCGGTCTCAGATTTCAGACATTTTTTTCTTCCAGTTTAACATGGTTGCAAAAACACGACAATTTCTAGTTGCAAGAAACAGCTATATTCTCAAGTGAACATATTAGAGATCATTAAGGCTCCCCTTCTGTTTGCCTATCTGAGCTTCAAGTTTTTAAAACACATAATAAAATTGAAATACTATACACACACTATATAAAACTTATAGATGAAGGAGGGGGAGAAGAAAACATGTCATAATAGACAAACCTGTTAACAAATGAATAATAACAACAAACAAGCAAGCATAATATAACAAAGAATAAACAAACAACACCCATAATCAATATGGAATAAACGTATCTTCTTAGCAATGTCTTTCTAGACTTCAGTGGATACCATTTTAACAAATCTAAACAATTCGGATTTCATTCTAACTAATTCAACATCTTTAATATTCAATTTTCCATTCATTCTACTAACGATTTTCTTGACAATTGAATTAGTTTCTTGATTAGTTAACCCAGTAATTTGATGCCAATTATAATTAAAACGATCTTTATGAATTCTTCTTTCTTTTAATATAGTTAATTTAAAACATCCAACAATCAATTTCTTTAATTCAAATCCCATATCTTTATAATTTATGAAATTATTAGATTGATTAAGATATCTTAATAAATAAATGATATCCATATATCTAAATAAATAAATTATACCCTTCATAAATAATGGTAATGTTAATTGTAATCTACATGTCAATAATAATAAGAATTTATCTAATGGAAGTTCATTGGGTTTCATTTGACGTGGGGATTCAGGTGGGAATGAATTATGGATCTTGGTTGCAATATATTTAACTATAATTGTCATCAATTGGATACGTTCATTCTTAAATTGTTCTGGCGAAAGCTGTTGTGATTTGGTTGTAGTAGTGGTTAGGGCTGTGGATGCAGGAATGGATTTTTTAACTTGTTGAGATGGGCGGGCATGAAGACGTTCAGTGTGTTCTTGTTTGACGACGATCGTATGTTCCTTTGGTTGAATTTTAAGTTGAGATGGGGTTTGTTTCTTAACGGGTTGTTGAATTCGTTGAGTTTGTAATATAGGTGTCGCAGCCTTGGATAGTATAGACTCTTTGTTATTACTTGAAACAGATTGTGTTTGTTGGGTAGGTGGCGTTGGTTGTTGTTCAACAAAAGAACTTTGAACTGTAGTTGCTGGTGTTATCCTACCTGAATTCTTCCAAAGGGAACGGAAAGTATTAATCAGAACATTGTCATCGTCTCCTGATTCATCATCACTGACTAAATTTGGAATGTCAATGAATTCACTGAAATCGTCATTCAAGTCCTCATTATTTTGTACAGATGAGATATCAAGTGAGGAAGTTGTTTCTGCATCTGGGAAAAATCGAAATTGGTTATGATGGGGATGGGTAATGTTGTTCATCTTGTTATAATATGTGTTGTTAGTGCTAAGATTCGAAGTATTTTGAATAGGATTCTTATAAATATTGTCATCAATCATATTGGGGGAAAACTTGCAGAAGATTATTTGTATGTTTTCTCTCTGTTAATATAATCTAAATAAGGATATAATGAATTCTAATTCAGATACTTCTTTTTAAGTTAGTAAATTCAAAATATTTAAACCAACTTGACTGGGGAAATGAAAATAATAAAAACCTTTTTATATGAAAATATCTAATAAACCAAAATCTTGAAACTTGTGAATAATATACAAAAGTTAGTTTCAAGAATTACGAATTAAAAAAACCTGGGTGGTAGTAGCAGCAGTAGTAGTAATCAATAAACGGGGGGGAATCACGATATATATAAATGTATAAATGTTGTAGAAAGATAATCTCCTTTAAATGATGTAATACATTGTAGATTTCTCTTTCTTTATGGTAAATATAATGTTAAAAAATTAAAGTAAGTAAATTAGTAAAATCGTGATGACTGTTTTTGTTTATTCGTTTTGTAATCAGTTGATGATTCCGAATTGTTTGTTTATTTATAAAGTGACTTATATGAAAATATGAATCCCTTGTAAGTTGGAAAAGCAGAGAGAAATAGAAACTGAAAGTGTGGAAGATTTTCTTTTGTATTTTCTCCTTTTAACATCCAATCTTACATAGTTTAAAAGGAGAGAAATGTTTTCTGACTCATCTTTTTCTGGTTTGTGTCATTTGTGTCATAAGTTTATGTTTTTGTCATTTGTACACGACTTTGTTACAAAAGCCTACCTGGAGAACCGACTTCGGCTCCAATTGTAGAGTGCTACTCTTTAAGGAATGCTCCAAGTTGGCCACTGCTTATAAAGCTGACAGAGTGATTAAAGAAGTCTGATGTCATTGCTAACACAATATCACTCCTTCAAATTAAATAGCTTTGGTTTCATGCACTTGACTAAGGTGTGTTACTTTTTTTGGTAGAATTTTCCAACAAACTCATTTTGCAACCAATAAAATCCATAAACATAACGCGTTCTTCCTGCCTTTCAAAATTTCATGATTTGTAACACAGGAAGACCCTTTGAAGGATCAGATGTATAACTGCTTATAAAATTCAGAATGCTGTATTTCCATCTCAAAGATTCTTTAGAAATGTATGAGCAATACATTATGTGAGGCTCATGCCAAATTTCCTATTTTGGTCTACAAGGGTCTGACAGTTTTTCTCACCATTTTGACTTCTTCAAGAAAGACTTCGTACACCCGATTCGTATAGCCTCCTTCGTATACTCCAGCTATTAGGTTTGTTCATTTTTTTTGCATCTATGAGTGAAACACCAAGTGATCCAACATCTGAAATGAGAAGTTTAAGAACTTATAAGGATGCAATTAATGCCTTAAATTCTCTTCAATCCAATTTTGCTTCAATTGAAGCCATGAAAAAGTTAGGTCCAAGTGTAAATAGAAATGAACTCTCAATTGGAGAAGTATACGAATATACAAGAAGAATTGGATATAAACCTTCCGATTTTAATAAATTGAATATTATTCATGTAACTGGTACCAAAGGAAAGGGATCAACTTGTGCGTTTACTGAATCTATTTTAAATCAATATCGTCCTCAACATATTTCCAAAATTGGTTTATATACTTCACCTCATTTGAAATCAGTTCGAGAAAGAATTAGAATTAATGGACAACCAATTAATGAAGATAAATTCACAAAATACTTTTTTGAAGTATGGGATAGATTATCAACAACTACTTCTGATCCAAATAAATGGCCAAGTTTGCAACCTTGTGATCAAGTGAAACCTATGTATTTCAAATACTTAACCGTGTTGTCATTTCATGTATTTATGCAAGAAGGTATAGATACCGCTATTTACGAAGTCGGTGTAGGTGGGACTTATGATACTACAAATATTATTGATAAACCAACCGTTACTGGAATCTCGGCCTTAGGAATTGATCACACGTTTATGTTGGGAAATACAATTGAAAGCATTACTGAAAATAAAACTGGTATCTTTAAAAAAGATACCCCGGCATTTGTTTCTGAGCAAGTTGAATATCCCCAAACTCATGAATTGATCGAGAAGAGAGCAAAAGAATTGCAGGCTTCATCGTTACAATTCGTAGAGTCCGACTTACCAAAAGACGTCAAGTTGGGATTATTGGGAGACTTCCAAGGTGCCAATGCCGCATTGGCAGTGAGATTAGCCACTACCCATTTGAAATCAATAGGTATAACAGAAGATTTACCGGAATTTAACCCCGAGGGATCAATCAAGAAATTATCTGACAAGTTTATCACTGGTCTCGGGAATGTAGATTGGCCAGGGAGATGTCAAATCATCAAGAACAAGCCTGGATACGAAGGAATAACTTGGTATATTGACGGTGCTCATACTATGGAATCAATAACTGCCGCAACTACTTGGTTTAAACAAGAGCAATCCAAATCAGAAACTAAGAACAAGAGAAAGGTGCTATTATTTAACCAACAAGGACGAGAAAACTATCGTGAATTACTTCAACAGCTTTATCAAGTTTTACATAATTCTGAACCCAAGATTGAATTTTCAGATGTGATTTTCACTCCAAATATAACTTGGTCTTCAGGTCAGTATAGTGCTGAATTGCTTTCAAAGAATACCTCTGAAGATACAGTTAAGAAACTTGAGATTCAACATGATTTCAGCAAAACTTGGAAAGAATTGGATGGGAATCGGGCAACTAGACATGTACTTCCGGATATTGAAACTTGTCTTAATTACTTGAAATCAGAAGCACAGAAAGAGGAATTAGAAGTGTTTGTATGTGGATCATTACATTTAGTAGGAGGATTTTTAGTTGTTCTTGACAACGAGAGAGAATAGATCCCAATCTGTTCAAAAAATGTATAAATGTTGTGTATATAATGTGTTTATATTAAACCTTGAAAACGGAATAGACATTAGTATATTATTATGGTACAATAGAAGTTAGTAGTAAAACGAAAAATACACAATTAAAAGTGAAACGTCTAGTTAGCAGTACTACCAACAATGCTTTCTCTAGCTCCAGCAACGGCTTCATCAATATTAGTTAAAGCATCTTTCCATTGTTGTAAAGCAGCCTTAACAGCAATCCAATTCTTAGAATTGTCTTCACCTGCTAAAATAAATCTATTAACTCTACTCAAATAAAATGATTCTTCAACTTGATTCAATTTTCCTTCAATAACACCGGCCTTAATGGCTTCGATTAATAATTGTTCAAATTCAACACCAGATTGAACATTTGGGATTTCACTATATTTAAAAACAATATCATCATGTTCTGGGGAGGATGAAGCATCAGCAAAGTATTTGGCCAAGTTTAAAATCTTGGATTTTTTATGAATGAAATCAGCTGGTAATTCAGTTGGAATTTCTTCAATGGTGATAATTTCTCCACGAACATATTTGTTAAAGATGGTAGATAATTGTTGTTGTTCGTTCTTTAAAGCTTGAGCAACATTGTTGTTGACTAAGAACGAGACATCGACTTGTTGGGATGATAATGCAAATGTGATAAGTTGATTTAATTCTCCAGAATTTAATTCATATTGATTTGTGAATGATTTAATTAAATCCAAAGATTTTTTGGAGAATTGATTATCCAAATTAATTAATTGCCAGAATATACTTCTAATTTCTGAATCATCACTATTGGCTTGTTTTAACCAATGGATTAAATTGGATGAAACATTATCTTGAATTAAAGCAAAATCAATTCCTGAAGTTTTGATAACTCTCAAAATCTCTTTCAAGAGAGTAATTCTAGTCTTGGAGGCACCTGGAACTAAGTTGAAGATTGTACTTAAGACAGATAAGATGGTTGCTGATTTTATAGATCTTCTATCTCTTAATGATGGTGGTTGGGCAGGGTCAGTTTCCAACAATACTTTAATGATTGGTGATTCAGCATTATCTAATACTTCTTGACTACTTGAAAGTTCGGAAGCAATATGAAGCAACAAGTAGAAAGCTGGTTCAAACTCTTTATCTGTCAATTTCTTGAAGTTTTCACTAGTAGAAACACCATATACCTTGTTTAATAATTCTGATTTGTTGGAGATTTCTTCCTTTTCTAAGTATGAAGAAATACTTTGAGAAAATTCAGTATTCTTATTTATTCCATCAATAATTTGGGAGTATTCCTTAACGGAATCTCTTAATTCATTATTCACTACAACAACAGATGCCATGACTCCTTTGGTGTGTCCTTAAAGTGGGTTGCCTCTTCTCCTTAAATGCCACTTCTCATACAAAAATATTAAAGCCCAAAGTGAAAAAAAAATTTTCCAGTCGCGGTCAATATGCAGGATTAAAGTAGTGTACCAAGTTCAAAATTTTGCAATCACTAAAGTCATTAAATTCATTTCTACTTGCTATACAGTAACATCTATAGAATCTCTACATATCACTACCTTCATCTTCTTCATCTATGACAGGCTCATACGTTGGTTTCAAATTACTATGATAATTAGAACTCTGAATCCAATGTTCAACTTGTCTTGTTTCTTCATATACCCTTGGAGAAGGTGATGATGTAGCTTGGAAGAAGGTTGGACTAGGATTAGTGCGTCTTTTAACCTGTTTAACGCTTTCATTCTTATTTTCAAACACAGGCTTCATCGGCTTTCTATTTCCCAACTTATACCCACCTAATGGTGGAGAATGAGTACGATAATATGGTTGTTGGTCGGCAAATGTAGTTCCAGGTGATGGTAAATTGTTAAAAAATGATGCATTGTTATTTACACTTTTCATTGATCTCATCTTGGCAAAATCAGGGAGAGGAGACAAATCCATAGTAGGTGGTTCTTCCAGTAGGACATTCTTAGTAGGAATTGGAGCAACAAGGATCGATTGATCAGATATATCTTCTGAAGAATTACTTGGTAGATCTGCGAGTGATGATTTCAATCTCATCGCAGGATTGGTTCCAGTTGAAGATGCCGTATCTGATGAAACTGTCCTTCTATACCCAGGTCTCTTTTTTCCATTCCCACTTTTATTATGTGTAGCTCCAAGACTAGAACTAGGCGTCATTCCAGTAGACAGTATTCTATTATCGTGTGACATATTAAGACTGGATTCATACATTTCGTCATCTTCGTCATCGTCTTCCATAGTATCAGTCTCATCTAAGATATCCAATTCAGATTCGGACAACATAGTTGACAATTGACTTAGTCTGCTGATTTCACTAACTTGAGAAATCATAGATGAAGGTCTGGTACGACGAAGTCTAGTCTCTGGAGGTGTCCGAGGGGCATCTATACTTCCTGTCTGACTACTTGGCTGAATATGCTCAAATGACGGACTTGCTACTGGGTTTTCCATAATATTTGGTTTTTCTGTATCAATAATGGAGAATGAAGGTTTACGAATACGTTCGTTACTCGTGGATGCAAGGATATCATGACTTCGGCTTTGCTTAATATGATTCCCCATCGATAAGGGCTTTTCGGCCGAGTCTATTGTGCTCAAAGGTAAACTCAGCTGTGATATAACATCTTCATGCATGTCATGATCCTTATGTTTCTTCCAAAATTGAAGCTTATTAAAAATATGTGCTTTGCTGCTTGATTTCTTAGTTGCCAGTTTATTGGACGATACCGTAGACAATCTTCTTTCGTCAGGTACAAATGACACTGAACGTCTCAAGGAAGTATCGACTCTCGTTGATGAGGGAGATATAGTGCGAGATCCTCTTCTTGACCTGGAAGAAATTTTTGAATTTGAAGTGGGTGATTGTGGTGACTCTGGCAATGAAAATAATGCCTTTGGAGGATCATCTTTGGAGGCAAGTCGTAAAGTAGACCCGCTACCGGTCTTCGGCAGAGGTGGGTCTATTCGCTTGTCTAAATCCATTGACTTTCGATATTCATTAGCTTGTTTTGATAAATTTGTCTTGCTTGAATTTTTCAACGAATTTAAACTCAAAGATGAAATTATTCTTTCAATAGGTTGTGAACTTAAAACTGACTGGTCAGAAAGAGAGAGGGCACTTTTGACTCTCTTTCTTGATTTCTTTAATGTAGTCTTTGCTTCGTAATATTTTCGCTTTTTTTCTCGCATATACTTTTGTTTCTTGCGAGAATACTCCTGAGTTAAACATAATTCATAAAAAGCCGTTAGGGTATTCATTTCGTTATTGAAAACACTTGCTTGTAGTTCGTCAATATCCACGTTAAGTCGCTGTAATCGTTTGACTAGTTCACGTTCAATTTTGGATTCAAAGGGTCTTTTGGCGCAATTGTAATGTTGATTGATTGAAAGAACAGACTCTGCGTCTGTTGCAACTCGTTTACTATTTTGAGCCAAGTATTTTGTATGATGATCAATCAAAAAGGATGAATTCAATATTTCATTCAAATCAGGTCTTTGGTTTGGATCTTTATTTAACATTTTCCTTATTAGTTGGTTAACTTCCTCTGGAATCCTTTCGCTATATATTGGTTGTTCGTGAAGGATCTTGGTTCGTGTCTTCATATCATCATCATCGTCAAATGGTAAAACGCCATACACCATAGCATATAGTATTATTCCTAATGACCATATATCAACGGCAAAACCAGAATACTTTTCATTCTTTAATAATTCTGGAGCCATGTAAACAGTAGTACCACATATTGTAGATAATAGTTTTCTGTTGTATGGATTAAACTCTCGCACAAACCCAAAGTCGGTCAACTTTATTATAGTCCGTTTCTTATCTGCTAGTAAAATATTTTCTAGTTTTAGATCTCGATGGCTTAGATTCAATGAGTGAACATACTTAAGTGCAACAACGATCTGAAGGAATAAGTTCTGACATTCTGGAATGTCCAATCTTTTCTTTTCGTAAATATAGTAGTATAACTCACTTCCTTCACAATATTCTAATACAATCCATAGGTGATTCTCTGTTTTGATAACCTCATAAAGATTAACTATATTTTTATGCTTTAATTGCTTATGATAATATATTTCACGCACTATATTAGGATCATCTATTAATCCACATTTTAATACAACTTTTATGTTTAACAATACGTGTCTTGCTAAGTATACTTTTCCGAATGCTCCTTCTCCAATTTCTTCAATTATTCTATAATTACCAATTTGACTTATCTGAGCCGATGTTATACCAAGATAAAACTCATTAAACTGTGCTGCCAACTGTGCAGTCTGGTTCTGATCATTAACAAATCTAGATGTTCCGACCATCTAGCAATTGAATCCACTTATTGTAGTATTGTTGCTAAAAAAAAATATGAAACAAAAATTAATTCTCTTTAAAACCAAACGATTGGTGAATTGGAAATAATAATAATAAACTCTATAGATAAAAGATGTTTCTCTTTTCTAAGAACTCTAAACGACTACAACTAAAGATCAATTCTAATTTGGTGGAGGGTTCAGTTCATCAATCTTGAATGGAAGTTATGCAACGAGTCTCTCTCAATTTATTTTAAACTTTTTTGTTTGTGGATTTTCTATGAACCCTGACCGGAAGTCATTCCTATCACGTGCCCATGTCTCATCTTCGGTTGGTTTCGGTATGTGGACACTACCCATGGACTAAAAACTTCACTAAGGTTTTAATTCATCATAAGGATGAACACACAACCATAGCAGATCGCCCTAGAAAGCAGGATTTGAAATGAGTGCAAGAATACTCCTTCGTTCAACCAGTGGCCCAGTTGTGCTGAGAATACGGGCGTTATGGCATGCTACTCCAATCAATGCAAGTATCCAACGAAGCCCAGCGGGCATCCATCGATGTCATTTTGCAACAGCTACACGAGTCCCGCCTTCTGAACAAGGAAATATTTCCAGTAAGGCCATTCAAGATGAGAAATTTCATCAACTTAAGCAGGTAGTGGAAACACCTCTTTTAAGGCTTCAAGACCAACTCAAGTCAAACACAGTCACGTATCCATTGAATTTGATAAATGAAGAATCGGATTCTTTCAAACATTCTTTGATGATAAAATTTAGAGAGAATATCAATCGTCAACTCGAGAGCTTCACATATGATAAATCCAAAATGACACCCATTTCACGGATTACTTTGGTAGATTTCATAAATCCTAAAATCGAACATATTACTCAATTAATATATTTGATTAATGCTGGTAAATATCCTAAAAACTTTTTGGAATTTAATAAATTAGAAACTAAACAAGATTTATTATTACAAATTTTTGGCCAATTATTGTATCAGGAATATTATGTTCAAAAGATTGAAACAACTCCTTTTGAGGAAAAGGAAATTGATTTTTCAAATCCTGCCCAATGGTTTCCATTAGCAAGAAAAATGAAGCGAAAACTTATCATGCACGTTGGTCCCACCAATAGTGGTAAGACCCATCATTCACTTCTTAAGTTATCTCAAGCAAAAACTGGTTATTATGCTGGGCCATTAAGATTATTAGGACGTGAAATCTTTGAAAGATTCAACAAACAAGGGATTGCATGTAATTTAGTTACTGGGGAAGAAGTGATTCCTAGACTTGATCGCCATGGGAAAATTAGTGGACTTACTTCTGGAACAATCGAAATGATTCCACTCCATAAGAAGATGGACCTTTGTGTGATTGACGAAATTCAGATGATTGGAAATGACGACAGAGGAGCTGCATGGACAAATGCAGTGCTTGGTGTGTTAGCTGATGAAATTCATCTATGTGGAGAAGAAAGCGCTATTCCGATAATTAAACACTTAGTTAAATTAACCGGCGACGAGCTTCATATAAAGCGGTTTGAAAGATTAGGAAAGTTAACTGTGGAAGATGAGCATGCTACTCTTGACAGTTTAAAGAAAGGTGATTGTGTTGTCGCTTTTTCTAGAAGAAAACTTTTAGACCTTAAGCAAATGATTGAGAGGACTACAAATTTCAAGGTTTCAATTATCTATGGGGCATTACCACCCCAAATTAGATCTCAACAAGCTGAATTATTCAATAATGGTTCGCATGATATTTTGGTGGCAACAGATGCAGTAGGAATGGGATTAAATCTTAAAATCAAAAGAATTGTGTTTTCTAACATTGTCAAATTTGGTTCTAGATTAACAAACTCAGAAGCCAGGCAAATTGGAGGACGTGCGGGTAGGTACTCGGCTAAAGAAGCATTCCCGGAAGGGTTTGTTACCGCACTCGATTCAAAGGATCTAGCGTTTATAAAGAAATGTTTTGAGGCAGGTCCAGGTAAAATACAAAAGGCTGGTATATGGCCGCCTGCTCATATTTGGCAGTACTATATGGTCAATACGAATCCCGAATTGCTGATCACAGCTAGCTTGAAAGAGTTTACAAAGAAAATTCCGAAATTAGATCACTTTTTCATCTGTGATGGTAGTATGATTGAGAACGCCCGTCTTTTGAAAGACGATTTACTTGCGAAAATGTCGATTCATGACCAGTACACATTGTCGAGAATTCCGCTTCGAAAAGACGACGAAGCTGAGGATGTTCGAGAATTCATTGACGCCATAGCTTCAGCAAAAACCAAAACCGTCTTTGACTTTTCATTTTTGGATCTCAAGGTTCTCTCGCAAATTAGTATAAGAAGCACCAGCATTGATCAGATCCTGGCAACATTGGAAAAACTAGAGTCTATGCACAGTCTAGTAATTACGCTCAAATGGCTTGCACATAGGTTTCCAGATATTTTCGTAGACAGAGAAAGTCTTCATGACATCAAGCTGTTGATCGAGAAACGAATTGCTGAGGAATTAGATACCACGAGTAGATGGAACAAGCTCGGATGGACCAATTTTAGAAGGGGCCAAAAAACTGTATAAGTAAGCTCTATAAATACTTGTAAATAGAATAGAAATAATATTTGATTCATAATAAATTTAATGAGTGGAAAATTTATGTGAATTTATTATTTAGCGTGGGGGATCCCTTCAACGTAAACTTATTTTGGATCCCCCACTTTTTGTAGTTGGTTTGTCCGCATTGCTGGAAATTAAATTTCCAGAAATTCCCACCCAGATTTTTATGATTCCTTTTAGAATAGATATCTAGAGAAAAAGGCAAGATCTCAAGAAATCATGACACGTAGAAGTACAGTTATTGTAGTTGGTGGACCAGCAGGTACTGGGAAGTCAACTCAAGGTGAACTATTTGCCAAGAACTTAAATTGTCCGCTTATTGAGGGAGATGATTTGCATCCAAAAGAGAACGTTGATAAGATGGCAAGAGGACAACCTTTAACTGATGAAGATAGATGGGGCTGGTTAAAGGAATTAAGTGAAGTTGCCAGTACTAAAGCATTAGATGAAAATAATGAATCTGGTCTTTGTGTGGTCACTTGTTCGATGTTAAAGAAAATATATCGTGAATTTATTAAAGCCAATGCAATTCAAGCTTCTGAATTAAATTTCAGATTTGTGTTCTTATACACTACATTCGAGGAACTCGTGAAACGTGTTGAATCTAGAAAAGGTCATTATATGAAATCTGAAATGGTTAAGTCTCAATATGATATTATGGAAATTCCAAAGGATGAAGAATTGGGTGAAGCTATACCAATCGATACTACTAACAAGACTCCAGCAGAAATCTTTGAAGAGATAATAACAAAGGTCAAATTTACTTAATAGTTTCTATGTATTTTTACGTCTACCATTTATAGATCTTAATGAAATATTACCAATTCACAAGCTCGTCTTCTTATGAAAACTATTGGAGATTTATAAACCGCATATGAAATTTTATGAGATACAAAACCCCAAGGCTCATTTAGGTGGAAACTTTTCCTAACAGTTATTGAACTTTCCTTATCAATGAAATCGCTTAGAGTTGAAATAAAATCATCAACGTATTACCCCTTCTTAATTATATCATTCAAATCTCTATAAATACAAAAAAGTCCTTTTTTTACTCAATGTATTTTTTTTAACCAGAATGTGAAGCTAGAAGTGAATTAGAAAAAAATGCGCGCCAGGAACAAAAAAAAATTGAGAAAATCAAAACAAATAAAACTTTTCTAATAATTAATAACAAAAAATAAACTATCATGGGATTGTATCTCCAAGTTTGTGTGGTAATGAAATAGGTGTAAGAGAGCTCCAAAAGCTCATTATGAAGTAGCCAATCGTCTCTATCTCCACGTAACAAAGTGGGATAAAGAAAGAAGAAAGAGTAGACAAATTCTAGGCTTGGTAAATTCACCTCTAAGATAGAGTGTATAAGAAGCCCTTGCAGGGAGGGAATTTCAAGCCAAAGATTTCTAGAGCCACTAAATTTCAATTAAAGTTTCACTTCTTCGTCAATTGATGCCTTTACGTCCCTATCTCCCTATCTCCCAACTATGACGCCCCCACATTCCCGGATCCAGTACTTTTAACTGCTATGTTAAATACAATCCAGACTCAACATTGTGGCTTTTAAGTCTGTCTTTTTACACTACTCGACAAGTTTCCCCATAGGAACTCTTGGGATTGAATAAAATTGTTTCTCTATTCTTCTAAATCATTAAAAATCTATAAGCATGATAACAAAAAAACAAACCACTATTCTAATTAAATAGTCCTTGTTAATAAATAAAAAGATCTCTAAACTTTTTTAAAACTCTAAAACTTCTCATTATGCTCTCATTGATACTGCTTCTTCGATTTCAAACTAAAAATTTTTTTTTCTTGTCGTCGTTACCCGCCTATTTATCTACACATAATTACACATGGAAAGATATAGATAATGGTCTTTTAAAAGTGTTTATTTAGTATAAGCTTTGAAGATATATATTTCTGCTAGTTATGTCTACTTTCGATACGAATGCACTACCGTTCTTAAATCCTAGGACAGAAAGAAGGGTTGCCCTAATAACAGGAGGAAATAGTGGTGTTGGATTTTATACTGTTTTACATTTATATCTTCACGGATATATCATCTACATTGCCGGAAGAAGTAGATCTCAATGTTTAAAGTCGATTAAAGAATTAAAGAAGAAGGCAAAGGAAATAATACAGGAATACGACGTTGACGCTTCTAGTATTCGACATCTTGGAGACTTATTCTTCTTAGAGGTTGATTTAAGTAGTTTATCATCAGTTATACGAGCAGTTGAATATTTCAAAAGTATTGAAGATCATTTACATTTATTAATTAATAATGCTGGTGCAATGGCTCTACCTTTTGCGTTAACTAAAGATAATTTTGAAATACAATTACAAACAAATTATGTATCACCGTTCTTATTAACCACTAAATTATTACCAATACTAGAGAAAACCACCGATAAATTCCCTACATCTCCACCTCCTAGGGTGATATATGTTAGTTCAATAGGACATCAATTTGCCATTAGATACTTTAGATTAAGTCAAGCATTCAATTATAAACCAAATTTTATCTTCACTTGGCTTCGATATGGTATGGCCAAAACTGCAGGAATACATTTTATGAAAATGTTAGCTTTAAGAAATCCAAAAGTTCTTTCAATGACAGTACATCCTGGATTTGTAATGAATGCTAATATATTTGCATATTGGACAAGATTACCTATCGTGGGGATATTATTCTGGTGTGTGTTTGAGATTGTGGGATATTTCTTTGGCGTAAGTAGTCAAGAAGGTGCAGAAGCTGTTACTAAATGTAGTCTTGATCCAAGTTTTACAGTTGAAAAACATAATGGGAAATATTTCGGGGCGGATGGACAAGAAGCCACCCCTTCTAGAATTGCTAATGATATGGATTATGCGGCAAGAACTTGGATTTGGACTATACATCAATTAAATGAAAGAGGAATCAGGATTCCTAATAATAATGATTTTTAAATTAATTTAGTCTCTTTGTGAGGATTTGTCTATTTACATACATAGTTCGCTATAAACTTATTTATATTTGCGTCTAAGAATATCTTCTAAATTAGCGTCTTTTGTTTTCAACCCCTGTAAAAGGGTTGCTAACGATTCAGTATCGTTATCTTTAAAAGGTTGACGGCTTTGAATATCCCTTTCGCTAACAGAATGCATATTCCCGAGTTCTTCAATTTTAGGTTCTTCAGTATATACCTCAGCTTCTTCCTCTCCATCATCAAAATCTGAATCTTCAACATCTTCCCATCCATCACTATCATAATCATCGTAATACTGATCGATCTCGTCATCACCTGTATCCTCTCCACGTAGTTTCTTTTTCAATTTCATATAGGCATCAAAATCCATATCACCCTGATATTCACCTTCTTCATTATCACTGACGTAGTCACTATCATCACTATACGGCGGTTCCAAGATCATCAGTAATATTGTTGCAGAAGCCATATATTCGGGAAAATCCGCAAATTGAGTTCCCGTGAGGTCATCCTGCAATTCATCCTGCACTTGCTTAGTGGCTCTCGCAACCTCATCCTTGAAATATTGATATTTCTCTTGTAATTTGTCTTTATCTAACTTCCTTCCTGTGATCCCCTCGTATTCAGATCTAAATCGATTCAATTGCTCGTCGGAAGATTCATCATCATTATCATCATCATCATCATCATCATCATCATCATCATCTGACTCGGTGTAGTCTGAGTTAAGCATTAGATCTTCAATCCCAGCTTGACCCTGTTCGAAGATTTCTTGGAGTTGGTTGAACATGAAGTATTCATTTACATCCTGCTCTGAAGATTGAAAGTCTTCATAAATAGATTTATCTTCTTCAACCCGAGCCGAGATGTATCCCTTTGAGATTAATTCATCTTGGAGTATATGTCGTGATAGGCAGGTGTTTCTGCGAATTGGGTTGCGATCTGATAGGATGATATTATTCTTTTTAATATATGATTCTAATCCACAATGAAGAAAGACTGCCGCATTTTGTTCAAATATTGAAAAAGGGCCACTGGATTCAGATAAACTCAACAATGCAGTAAGATTCATGCTATTGATAGCTACTTTGACTTCAATTGGGTCGATTGGTTCTTCAAGTTTGAAATCCTCATCTGGCTCTCCTTCAAGCTCTAATAATGCGTCAGAAACATGAATGGTACCATCCATGACCAAGTTTGCAATTTGTCTCGGGATGTATACTTCCAAATCATGCACATCTCTCAAAAACACCTCAAGATTCCCATTTACTTGATTTAATTCATTGGTTAAGTTTTTATCTATGGTATAATCACGATTATTGATCTGATGGATGGCCCTGGTCAATGGTAAAAATGAGTCATCTTGGTGAGAATTCAACATAATGATATTTCCATCATGTAACCAAACTCTATTCTGGGATGCCGACGCATTGGATATTTCATCATCGACAATTTCCTGGCATAGTACTAACAATGGTTGTATTTCTACTGAATCAAAGCAATGAATATATACATTCTTGGTTTTGGTTGTAAATAATTGCAAGATGTGGATGAATAAATTTGACTGATCATAATATTCATGATAGTTCAATTCTCCATATATGTAGTTAATAGTTATTGATTTCTTGTGTTTGTTTTTGTATTTATGTTGTAATTGTTCAAATGTTGGTGGGGAATGAATCCAAGGATAATGTTTGATCCATGGCTTCATAAAATCAGTTAATTTTTGATAAACTTGTTCATCTGATGAAATAATAATAAAAGTTAAGTAAGTGTCCTCGAATCGATTTGAGAGTTCAAATGAAGTAATCTCTTCATTTGTCCATAAATAGTCCACATCTACCATTTTGCCATAACAATCAATGAAATCTGTAAAAGTCATCTCAATCTCATTGCAGTAATTTTAAGAGTAAGGATCTAGATTTGCGACATATTTGAAATGTCGCATTTTCAAATGTCGTTCAAGAGTTCGATTTGATTTGGCTGCAAATTCAAAGAAGTCAACTTCATCCTTCATTTGAAGATATCCCTATAACGCCATAGACAGTTTTATGGTTTCTAGTAGAATAACAAAGTTGGTTAATGTATTCTTAAAATGGCGTTATACGTGATTTCGTACGTGTCCATATATATTGTTTCCTCATGTAGAGATCTTCTTGATTTATTCCTAGTCCTTTTTCATATCTTACATGTACTCATGATCGAACTCTAAGTGCTCGCACTTTCACTCTCCCCAAAATGGAGGCAAGCTATCTTTATCAATTGCCTTTTCATTCTTCTAACACATATTTCTCATAAAAGATCTTGTACCTATTAAGTGCCTCTCATAAGAAACTTGTTTGTCTATTACCTGTAAACTACATTTTCCCCAAATTTCTTTCGCTTTTCAATACAAGAGTATAAGAGAGTTACTTTACAATGAGAAGGAATCGTTCCGCAAATCAATTTGAAAGATTTTTTTTATATTTTATTTCTTCTTTCTATCTTCTATACATAAGTACAGTTATTTTTTCTTTTCATATCTATTACAATTTAAAGAGGAGGACGACGATGGCCGAGGAACCTACAATTTAGATTCTTCTTGTTCAAGCTTAATAACAATAGAAGAAGCACCACCACCACCATTACAAATACCAGCACAACCAATCTTACCACCTTCTTGAGTCAAGACAGATAATAAAGTAACAATAATTCTGGCACCAGAACAACCTAATGGATGACCAATGGCAACAGCACCACCATAAGCATTAACCTTGGCTGGAGGTAAATCTAATATTTTAGTATTGGCAAGACCAACGACGGAGAAAGCTTCATTGAATTCATAAAAGTCAACCTTTTCAGCTGAAACATTGGCATGTTTCAAAGCTTTTGGAACGGCTAAAGATGGAGCAATGGTGAAATCAAATGGTTCAGTTGCGGCTTCACCCCAACCGATAATTCTGGCAATTGGTTTCAAGTTTAATTCTTTTAATTTAGCTTCAGAAACTAAAATAACGGCAGCACCACCATCATTTAATTTAGAAGCATTTGGAGCAGTGACAGTACCATTTTCTTTTTGGAAAACGGTTCTGGCAGATCTTAATCTTGATTCATTCAAGTTTTTAACTTCTTCATCAGCAGAAATAACAACATCTGGTTTACCTCTAACACCTTTAATAGTGATTGGAGCAATTTCATGTTTAAATTTACCAGCATCTAAAGCAGCTTGAGCTTTTTTATAAGAATTAATAGCAAATTCATCTTGTTCATCTCTTGAAAGATTATAATCCTTAGCACATTTTTCAGCAGCAACACCCATTAATTTATTTTCATAAACATCCAATAATCCATCCTTTTGAACCCCATCAACCATAGTAGCATCACCATATCTAGCACCAGCTCTGGCAGAAGGTAAATAATAAGGAGTATTAGTCATGGATTCAGCACCACCAGCAATAACAATATCAGAAGTCCCACAAATGATATTTTGGGCCCCAATTATAATTGCCTTCATTCCGGAAGCACAAACTTTATTAACGGTAGAACAAACTGTCTTGGTTGGTAAACCAGCTTTAAGAGCAACTTGTCTAGCTGGAGCTTGTCCAACATTGGCTAATAAAACACCACCAAAGACAACTTCATCAACATCTTCTGGTTTAATTTGTGGGACTTTTTCCAAAGCCGATTTGACAGCATGAGCACCTAAATCAGAATAAGTTAATGAGGATAATCCACCTTGGAATGAACCAACTGGAGTTCTAGCGGCTGCAACAATATAAACTGGAGGAACTGGCATATTTGTGTAATAGAATGTGGATATAAAGAAGAAATAGAAGTGGTGAGAAAGATTATAAAAGAAAGAATTCTGAAATAAATAAAAAATGGACAATTTGAATTATATTTATAATTTTTTTTGGGTGGGACAGAGACTAGAATGTAAGGCGCGACTGTAACATAAAAAAACTGCTCGTATATTTCATGTTAAGTATTGGTAACATCGTTTAGTCGTTTTACATTAATTTTCTCATGCAAAAAAAAAGAAAGCAAAAAAAGTAAAATTTGATCACGTGTGTATGCGGCTTGACCAATTTTACCCAATGCGGAAGTGGGAGGTGAATTTCCTCGGCCATTTCTGTCTGTTTAATATAGAGAGTTGAAAATTTTTTTATCCGATATACCCAGTGGGTTATCTCCACATAAAAACAATCCGGAACTAACCTTTTTAACCCCCACATCTCATCTCGTTGAATAACATAGCCCATTTACTCATCCAATGATGTTTAGAAATGTTATTAAATCAGGCAGAGTGATATCGCCAAACACCTTTATAAATCCATCAAAATCATCACCAATATCATCCATTACAATTCTTCGTCCGTTTCATACAACATTAATAAATCAAAAAATCTTTACAAAACCAAAACCAAAAGAAACAACGAGAGAAGTATATGAAAGTATAACCAAACATCCAATTCTTTTAAAATTACCCAGATTCACACATAAATATGCTGCTGGGTTTTTAGAACGACCAATTTCAAATGGGATAGCATTCACGATCTTACATGAAGCATCTGCAATTATACCATTACTTGGATTATGGTATCTTTTCCATAAATTTCCCGGATTGGTACCCGTGGAAATCCCCGGTTGGGCGATTGAAAAAGTGGATAAATTGATTGAAGATAATTTTCAACATTTCGAATTTTCCGGGAGTGAAGATAAATTACATTTTGCAATGGAAGGGGCTTTAGCTTATATTATTACCAAGTTTTTATTGCCCTTGAGAGTGGTTTTCAGTCTTTGGGGGATGAATTGGGTTTCTAGATGGTTTGTATATCCTTTTTATAATGCGTATCAACATTATATTGTAAATAGAGGTAAGGAACCAAAGAAGAAAGGAGAATTTCAATATGAAATTAAGAAACAAGAAACTAAAGAATTAAAGAAACCGAGATTGTAATTGTACAGTACTATTAGTAAAGTATATCTATATAACGCGGCGTGTATATATCAATATTATATATAATCAGCTTTAGTAATTAAAAGACACAACAATCAATCAAACTTAATAATTTTAATTAACAATCGTAGAAATCGTTTCAAACAAAATACATACAAAAATATAAAAGTAATAGAAAGTAATAAGTTAATAATAATAATAATAATTTAGTATATAAATTAAATTAGAATAAAAAAAACATGAATGAATGGAGTATGGAAGGGCAGGGATGATACTCTGATGGGATGGAACTGGTAGTAGTAGTAGTAATGCGCGTAAAAATCAATAAAATGTCACTGGGGGTTATAAAATATATACACAATTGTTATCTCTTGCTATTTATTCAAGTGTTACAATCATTTCTTCAGGATTCATTGGATTAAATTCATTTAGATGATTAATCAGTTGTTTCAATTGTAATTGACCCATTGCCCAATCAGGAACTAATCTATAATTTAATTCTGGTGCTACTGATAATTCTCGATCATTAAAATCAAATAATGGAGGTAAATCTTTTAAATCAGGTTGAGAATTATATAATTGATAATTTGCAGCATTCGAATGAGTATTTGGATTTGTTGATTGATGAAATTGTTGACTAAAAATTTTTCGATAATTTGGTAATTTTGTTTGAATATTTTTTAATTCATCAAAATATGGATCTACCAAAGCTTCAATACATGAAATTCTATCAATTGGTGAATATTGTAATATTCTAATTAGGAAATGTATACAATCATTATTCATTTTTTTGAATATTTTTGATAATGGTATTGGTTTTATTTGTGGGAATTTATGTTCCATATAATTTGGATTCATAGATTTAATTTGTTCTTTTGATGGGGTACCTAATATTTTAATAATTTCAACTAATTGATCAATTCCTGATTCTCCTGGAAACAAAGGTTGTCCTAATATTAATTCTGCCATTACACATCCTGCTGACCAAACATCAATCTTAGTAGTATAATTAGTAGCACCAAATATTAATTCAGGAGCTCGATAATATCTTGAACAAATATATGAAACATTTGGTTCATTTGGATTTAGAATCTTAGCAGAACCAAAATCACATAATTTTAATTCACCAGAATCAGGATTAATTAATAAATTTTGTGGTTTTATATCACGATGACAAATTCCTTGAGAATGAATATAATTTAATGCTCTAAACATTTGATAACAATATAATTTAATTTCTAATGGTGGCATACTTAAACGTTTCAGAACATAATAATGACTGGCTTTATATAAAGTCTCTGGTACAAATTCCAAGATTAAATTTAAATATAATTCTTGTTTTTCATTATTAGTATAAAAATAATATTTTAAATCAGCAATATTTCGATGATGAACTAATTTCATAATTTGTAATTCACGATTTTTAAATCGTTTATCTTGTAATACTCTTTTCATAGCAGCAATTTCATTAGTAGGTAATATTTGAGTTTGGAATACAACTCCAAATGATCCATGACCAACCATTTGAGATTGAGTATATTGAATAGTTTGAACGGCACCTGTATGCCCATTGGTTACATTTTCGGTTATAATTTCTATTTTAGACATTATGTTAGTTGTTGTTTTTCACCTATATACTGTTTTTGTCAAATCTTGTAAATACTTCTCTACTTCTTCTTTAAGGGTTATGTGTATGTGTGCGTGTATATTTCAAAATGAAAGTGGGATGAGTGTGTGTGTTTTTTAATAATAATTGTCTTTTCCCCCCAATAAATAAATAAATAAAAGGCAGCAATATAATGAATGGGTTTATATGATGATGATGATGATAATTATTAAATAATTTCTATATGTATATTGTATAACCAACCAACCAAATAAAAATCAATCGATTAACTAATTAATGTGCAAAAATGGTATTATAATGATTGTCAATGGGGGCAATGGCTAACCTGAATTGAATGATTGATAATGGTAATTACTGGGGGATTTGATGTTGTAATTAAAATAAAAAATGCTAGAAAAAAAAAACACTCGTCGATGGTGGTTTTTTATGTTTTTTTGTTTTTTTTGGTAGTTTGGGTGGTTTTGTAATTTTTATGGGGGAGAATGAAATCTTCAAAAGGGGATCACCAAAAAAAAAATTTGATAATGTCGTCAAATTAATTCTGTCTAAAAAAAATGTCTGAAGTTAAGAAATTTCTTACAACTCGATTATAACAATTGGTTGCTTTGGATTCAAGTATTGGTAAAATTGAATGGTTCAAGTGGGACAAATCTAACTTCTGTTTCTAATAAGTTGTTTTTAAATGTGGGAAAATCTTTAAGAATGTGACTGACTATTGATCTAATTTCTCCGGTGTAATGGAATGTGTTGTTAAAATAAATTAAAAAAAAGGGAAACAACAAAAAAGATGGAGATTCTTAATTATTTTAATAATCATTGTTCCCGTCTGTCTCTTTATGATCATTAGTTTTTTGGCTGCCATTTCCTGTGAAGCGCAAATAAAAAATGTCGTAAACTGTAAAATAACTCCACCTGAAATGAATGACCCCCTTGGATTTTGTACTCCCTTTTTTTTCAGTAAATAAATACTCCGATTTCTTTTGCAGGTTATGCGCCTAGTTTGTTAGTTCCTTTTTTCGCTTATTTCTTTGGACATTTTGTCGTAAATTGATAAAAATTCATTCATTAGATCACACGTTCATTTATAGGCAGTGTAATTGGGTACAATAATTGTCACACTTGCAGCATAGATCAATTATCTCTTCTCAACAATTCTAGACATATTGAATAACCATAAATATGTTATATATTGTTATTTTCTCTGGACAAGTACAATGAGCATCAAAATGTCAAGCACGAACTTTAATTTACAACCCCCGTAATCACCCACAAGATTTAGTTGTTAAGGAACACATTTATCTGAACACCGACTAACCTGTAAAACCTTTGTCAACCATGACGTCAAAAAAAATTGACTTTTTTTTTTGTTTCTCTAACCATCCCCCCACTTTCATCTCCACTAATGTATCGAATAGTCTGAAACCTTCCATACGATACAAACTTGAAACATGGTAAATTGAACAGTAACATTGTTCCTGACAACTAATAATAAATTATGACAGATGTATCATAATTATTTTCTTGAATTTTAGTGTCATCCTTTCTTTTTTTCTTGTTGCTAAGCCATCATCTAGCTATTCCAATTTAGGATATGTTCTAGTAACCAATTTAGGTAAAGTGTTAATTCGCTTCTTTCTGTACTACTTTTTTTTGCAGCCTTTTCTTTGTTTTATTGAAACACAAATCCACCACATACACACATACACAGTACACAACACGTATATTCCTTTGCTTGGATAATTAAACACACAAACACATAAACAACACGTATATGGATATACGCGTATACCACAATTTCATCTCTAAAAATAACAATTTGGAATTTGGTTAAGCTGAGTACAACTTAACCAGGTTAGTATAATAACACACACACACTCTCTCTCTCTCTCAAACACACATTAAACTGATTTGACAAAATACAATATGATTCATGAAAGTAAATAGATACATACCTATTATATCTTCATTTTGTTTTCTTGAATGCCGTGGAATAATAAGATTATTATGATTATGATTATGATTCTTACCAACATGTAATTTATCAATAATTTTTCTTCTTAAAGTAATTTGTGATTTAGTTTGATCGAAACTATTTGAACGTTCCATTAAATTAGGTACAAGATAAAGATCATGATTATTAGTATGAGATATCTTATGAGTTAATGTATTACCTGTGGTGGTGGTGGTTGCTTGTGATTTCTTGGAATCTCTTGATACTATTAATTTTTTGTCTTCTTTCAATGGTTTTGATAATCCTTCAGGTTGATGACTAAGTGATCTTTTGAATCTACTTTTAAATAATGATAATTTTGATGATGATGATGATGATGAACCACCACCAGTTCTTTCTCCAATTAATGTAGTTGATGAGGATGATAATAATCTACCACCTCTAATATTAGAATCTAATTTATGATTTAATCTTTTACCAGCATTAAATGGATCATTAAATATGAAATGATTATGATTATCAGTAGGAGAATCTTGTTCAACTTCAGTTTCACTTTCTAAATCACCTGGAATTATTTCCTTTTCACAATAAGTATAAAGACCTTTATTTTCGGGAATTGTAAGACCTTGACCAATATCCCATATGAAGTCATCATTCCCTCCTCTTGCATTAAACTTCATTAATCTATTTATGTCGTCATCTTTTGGTTGTTGCTGTTTATCTGCCACATCCTTCTCATTAATCTGTTTAACTAATTCATCAGTGAATCTTCCACATTTTGCATCCAACATCTTCTTCATCATTCTTTTAGTAGCAACTTGAGTATTATTATTATTATTGCGATTTGAATTGTTAACATGTTTATTAGCATCTTTATAAATTGGTTTATCAACAATTAAATCTCGTAAATCTGGAGTTGAAATTCCATCATTATGAAAGAATTGAGGATAATATTTATGAATATTATAAGTTGATTCTAATTGATCATAATCGGCTGTTCTTATAAAATGTTCATCTAATAAATCTTGAGTATCAATTGGATTCTTATGGAATAATTTCATTTTGCTTTGGTGGTTGGGTTTAAATAAAGGATTTTTTGTCGAAATTTTTCAGATTGTAAAATAAAAAATACTTTTAAATGATAACGGAAAAAGGGTAGTGTAGTATCGTTTGTAGTAGTTGTTGGTTATTATAGTTGGATTTCTTTACTATCGTATAAATTAGTATAAGAATAAATGTCTGTCTGTCTGTTTGAATGAATGAATAAATCGGGATGATAATTTATCCTTAAATAAAATTGTCAATAAAATTTAAATTAAATATTATTTTTAAATTAAAATAAAAAAATGTCTTTCTTTTATTGCTTTCTTTGGTGAAAAGTTTATTTTAATTAGAAGGAAAAAAAAAAAGTAAACAATAAGAGATATTTTTTTCAGTTACTAAAACAATAGCGAGCAAAATATTTTTTTACATTGTTTGAGTCTAATTTACACTATGTGGGGTACCTAAGGCAAAAGAAATATTATGAAAAATAATCATTGCGTCAACCATTCCCTCATTTGTTACGACAACCATTACTCACTTCTTACGTCAACTAGTAAAACAGTCAACCCAAAAGAAACATATGCAACATAAAAACTTTATTGAATGAAGATGTGATGATGGTTATGATTACTGGGTAATTCCCCCCTCCTCGTTTTCTTCAATTTCAAACGCATAGTCATCTAAAACAATGGCTGCTCTTTAAAAGTTGGATTGAAAGGGTTTTATTATTTAATTAGACTTCGTAAAAATGATAAACTAGTCAGGGGATTATAATAATAATAAATGATCATATAAATTTTAATTTAAATCATCATTATCGTCATAAATTATGCAATAATCAAACAGATCATATTGTATCAAATTTAAACTTTAAGATTTTTGCACAACAAAAAAAATTAATTTTTTTTCAATTAAAAATTAAATTGCTAATAAATTAATTTATTTTTTCTTCTACTCTATGAATTTATATATTGAATCATCATCTACGAACAAACCCATTTTTGACGCATAACTGATGATGGTAAGCTGTATAGTTATGTATGTCTAATCACTAATATATACATGTAGATCCCCTCACCCCCAATTTTTCCTTTTGTACTTGTACCCGCCCCTCCTCATCGTATGTCAATCCTTAAAAGGAAATAACAGTAGCTATGAGTTCACTACTCATTTCAATATACCACCATTTGATCTAATGCAATACCCCAGGATCATTACACGGATTTGCGTTGTGGATTATAAACACAAGCACTCTATTAAAATAGCAAAATTAAAATGATCTGATAGCTAAAAGGAACTCCCACGCCTTTGTTTAATATATTTTAATATTGAAAAATGGCACTGTGTAAAAACGGATGTATAGGTTGGTGTTCGTAAAAGCAAGTTGTCAATTCAATCCAATAATTTATTTAGTCGGTTTTATTAAATTTAATTAATCCTCTTTCTTATTGTATGATTTTATTTTTCATAAATCCTTTTATCTTCTAATTGAAATCATCCAATTAAGAAAGATGACGTAATTCTATATCAAGTTCATTACTGGTAATTCTTGTATTTCTATTATATTTAATCATTTTATTAAATAACTTCTTAATTCCTTCATTAGTACATCTTGGTAATATGTCATCATCAATTGATAATCTTGGATAATTAACAACATTAAATTTCTTAAAATGTAATTCATCATTCCCTAATTCTGGCCAATATAAATATTCATCTTCAGGATTAGTAAAATTTGGTGTCCCTAATGTTTTAAAAATATTACTTAATAAATGTAAATCACTTATATAAACTTCATAAAATGAACTCTTAAACTGTTTATCTTGTTCCTCCTCTTCATGTAATTCTTTATCTTCTTTAGTTAAAATTGATTCAAAATTTGGTGAATATAAAATAGTCATCACAATTGCCAATGACCAAATATCAATCTCATATGAATAATTAGTTATCCCTAAGATTAATTCCGGAGGTTTGAATATTCCAGTACATACATCTATATATTTCTTATCAATTGGTTCATTGTCTCGAACTGACAATTTCGTATCATAACTAATCCCAAAATCTCCTATAATTGGTTTGGTTATATCATCAGTCATGAATAAGATATTTGTCGGTTTTATATCTCGATGAATTATTCCTTGAGAATGAATATACTTCAACCCAGATATCATTGCTTTAAACCATTCGATTGAATCTGATTCCAGGAGGATGTTTCTATGAACATATGTAAGATAACCAGGATTATTGAAATCATATTTGGTGGTCTTACGGGAATATTTCGATGAGCATAATAATAATTCTTTTAAATTATATTGATATAATGTGGTGACTAAGATTATATCATCATCTATTTTAAGATCATTGATATAGTTGATTATATGAGGATGCTGGAGTTTCTTTAATAATTGGATTTCTTGTTTGATTGAATGAGGTGGTAGACTGAAATCAACATCAACTATTTTAAGACATACTTTTTGGCTGTTGTTATTTATATCTTCTGCTTGATATATATCTGAGACCTGACTGCTATAAATATGTTTCTTATTGATATAAAAAGTAGATAACTTCATTTACTTCTCCCAATTGGCAATTGTCTGTTTGTCAATGATGAATACCCATCTTGTTTACTTTCGTTTTCTGTGGCTTTCTACTACAAAAATTTGAAAGATGGTAGCGCTACAACCATATCCTCTCATGGCTGATTGATGAACTGTTACATAGTTGTACTTCTATACACCAAGAAACTTTTATATATACCTAACCTCTCTTCTTTCTTGCGCTTCCTTGTCCCCCTGCACCTCCACCACCTCCACCGGCTCCATCATCCAAATTGCCTCCACCTCGTTTATAATTCTGATTAATTGCATGATTACTAACAATATCATTATCATCAGTATATATCCTTCTATTAGGATATTTAAAACTCAATCCTTCAAAAGCATTTTCTTGCACCTTTGGCAATTCCAAGAAATATGGATGTAATAATGCCATATCGGCCGTCAATCTAACCTCGGGATCATATTCCAATAATCCTTTCAATAATTCCAAACATTGTTTATTAGTGCCTCCGATCATCTTATACCAATTCACAAGATTTGAGTTTGGATAAGTCTGGGTGAATTGTTGCGTAAACAGAGGATATTCGGGGTATTTATTCAAATTTGGCCAGTTTTTTAGCGTGGGTGTTCCTAAGATTTCGATTATTTTTTGAAATTGGTTTTTTTGGAATGGGACGGATTTCTTATTGTTGATGTCCATTTTGGCTTCTTCTCCTTTAAAGATTGGTCGAAGGGATAATAATTCGGCTAGGATGCATCCGACGGCCCATAAATCGATCGCGGGGGTGTAATGTCGGGTTCCTAATAATAATTCGGGAGCTCGATACCAGATGGTGACTACGACTTTATCACCGGTGTATAAGGATTGTAAGGGGTTGTTGAATTTCCGGGCAAGTCCTAAGTCACCGATTTTAACTACACCTTGAGATGAAACCATGATATTTGCTGGTTTCAAATCACGATGGAAAATCCAATTTTGATGTAAGAATGTAACCCCATTCAAAATTTGCCAACATAGGGATTTTATTGTGGATGTCGGTATTGGTTTGACTTCAGGATGAGAATGATAATGAATTATTTGTAATAAATCATGTTCACAAAATTCAAAAATCATATAAATTGATTTATTCTCAAGTATAATATCAACTAACTTGGTTATATTCTTATTATTTAATTCTCGACATAATGACATTTCTCGAATTGCACTCTGTGAAATACCTGTATAATGAATAATTTCATTTCCATTTATATCATGATTATGATGAGTCTTTGTCAGGCCATGATTATCACTTTTGAATTTCTTAATCGCAAAAAATTGATTCATCGGCTTATTGTCATCCACTGCATCGTCTATATCCATTTGATCGGTACCAATACTCGATATTAACGTACTCGTATTTTGTAAATTCAAATCCCCTTCTCCTCCACCACCTATTCCTTCAATAATTTTATCCTTATTATGATTCTTCAATTTCGCTTTGTAGACTTTCCCATAAGTCCCAGCAGCAATATATCCTAAGATCAGATATGTACTCAACACCGACTCTCTAGTTAAATCTTTTCGATGTTTAAATGGACCCAAAGTAAGTATTGAACTCGAGGCCATTAATGCAGGTTGTGGTATCATGGGCATTTGATTAGATGAAATGTTTAAATTTTGTTTATTCTGTTGTTGTAACTGTTGGTGTTGATATTGTTGTGTCTGTTGAGGGTGTAGGTGTGGGTGTTGTAGATGATGGTGAGAGCCAGCGTTGCCTGTGCCTGTGCCTGTGGTGGTGGTCTGAGATGTATTTTGTTGGATCGGTAGATTATTTATTTTACGATATGATGCTGATGAAGCAGAAGTTCCGTAATTCATACTGACATTATAAGTTTATAAATGGACGTATATATATTATATAATTGTATGTTAAAATGGAAGAAGAGTAACAATTAAATTCATGGGGGAATAATTGATGAGCGTTGAGCGTTGAGCCTAAACGGTGAGAAAGTGACAATGAGAGTGAAAAGAAATTAAGAGCGTGAAAAAAATGACACAGCACTTATCTCCCGTCAAATTTCACAAGGGCTATACGAGTCTAACACCGATACATGTATCTCTTACTACGGAAGTGTGGGGCTCTGAGAGTGACTCTATCAGTGGAATTACTCTTTGGGGTTTTCCGTATTTGTAGTCTTGATTTTCGTTATTGGTACTTCCTCATTCTGTTTCTGACTCATTCTATTTTTGAAGAGCAAAGGAGGATGTGGGAAAACGTACTTTTCTTGTGTATATGGTGACTATGTAACAGTAATGACACGCTTAGCGATCATAATGCAGGAGCATGAAGAAGTTTGTCACCAGAAACAACAACCAATGAATATGACAAGTTCATCGGAAAGTGATGTAGAGACGTTAACCTTCCTTCTCTCGCTAGTAATTTCACTTTCTCACCCATATTTTTCCCCTAGCTCTTACTTGAGAACTACAATCTTCACAGAGAATGGGGTTTGTTTTACATAACCAATCTATTTGATATGTATTCATGACTTCGTCTATAAATCTACTAAGGGGGTAACTAAAAACTGCTGCAAAAAACATTCTAAAACTTCAACCCTGCCAAATCATTCAACGATATGGAATGACTCTCTTGTACTGGAGTATCAGTTCTCGAAACATCACTACTCTCAGGCTCAACGAGATCTCCAAATGCATAATTCGGATCTAAATTAATCAAATTATTAAGATGTTCTCTCTCATATTCATCCTTCAAATTCTCCGTGATTGTTTTTTGTTCATTTATTAATATCTTTCTAATTTCATCAATTTCCAGTTTCTCATCCTGATCCCATTGTTTCAGAGTGAATGTGAACTTATTTATATAATAAAATGTCCCGGAAATGTTCTGATCAATAACAACCAAACCTTCGTTCACGCATTTATCTAATTCTTCAATGGTGATATTATTTGACCAATTTAATTTATTGGAGATTTCTGAGACAGTATTTCCTTTGAAATACGTATATGCTTGACGGTAATATCCATCTTGTTGGGATTCTTCATTAATAATCAATACATGTCTCATTTTACTCATCTTGAATTGATATTCTTCTTCTCGGAGATAGTTTACAATGTATTCCGCATAGGTGTTTTTGGTACTTTTGGGTGCAATTACTAATAATCCGGATTTTTCATAGTTTCGTAAGACTATTGGAAGTTTTAATTCTTCAAACATTGAAATTGATTTATTAAAATCATTAGCAGTCACTAATTCACATCCAAATCCTTGTGATTGGACTAGGAATCTATTATAATTGGCAAATAAATCTTGACTAGTTATCATCGATGATGCTTTTAATAAGACATAATTAATGGTATATTCACTTATATGACGGCTTAATTCTTGATGATATAAAGTCGATGTCTTTTTAATGTTTAAACTGGGTATTAGTTGTTTATTTGTTGTTGTTGTTACTGCTGTGGTGGTTGATTTCTTATTATTGATGAATTTGTTAAATGAAGATGATAATTTGATTAAATCTTGATATTTTAACATTAATTGTTCCAAATCATCTAATGAAGAACTCAAAATAAGTTCATTTTGTTTCCTTTGTTGTTGTCCAAGTTGTTCAAGCGCATGAATTCCAAATCCTGGTTTAGTCGGTTCAACTGGCATTACTTTCCCGGCTAGAGAGAGCTTGACGGCATTTTTATTAATTCCTCCTTTATTCTTTAATTTTTCCCATTTTATTTCATCAATCGTCATACCCACTTGTTGAAAGAATTGATTCTCACCTCCTTTTCGGAAACTTATTTTGATATATGGTTGGTTATTAGTATATGCTTCTTCATTCTCGAGCTTCAATCCAAGTGGATTTGAATTGGTAGGTTTTGGACTGGCAGAATTATTTCGCATACTTTCAGATATCTTCATTTGTAATGCTTTCGGGATGGTGGATTTTAATTCAGTTCCGCAAATTTCACAATATCTCATAGATGGGTGGTTTATGAATGTACATTGAGGACATTGGTCATCTCTTCTGGTGGAAGTTGTTGGGATAGTCAGATCTAAGGTGGAAGGTACTGGAGATATTGATGGTGTGGGTGATGCCAGTTCTTTGGAGTTCTTGATCGTGTCTTGTAAATAAATCTTATTAGGTCGTATACCACAAGATGTACATTTGGGTAATTCATTTTCTTCAAAATTGAAGTTCGATAAGATACTATTGTTGAATGAACATATCTTACAAACCCAATTGACAGTTCTTTTAGATGCGGTTGATTGAGTTGATGATGGCGATGATATTGGTGGAAATCCATTGATTCCTGTTAGTGGCAGCAGCAGCAGTATATGTGACTTCTTACTAGAATCAGTATTCTTTATAAACAATTTTACTTTAGGTGAGGATCGTAAAAATCGATCAACAAATTCAGCAGATGAAAAGTTCTCCAAATCAACTCCAATGCTTCTCTTCTGGTCATCATTATCAAAGTAGATGATTCTCTTATTGGTTAAATATAATCTACCATTTTGATGTTCCAAGATCTTCAGTTTCCCTTGATATAATCCAATATTATCCTTAATATATAAAGTATATTCCTCTTCTTGTAATATGGGTCTATTACTTCGATTGATCGGCACAGTCAGCCATATATTCAACCATGACATTTGGGTCGATTGGTTCTTTGAAGATCGCTTGTGTTTGCCTTTCCGGAGAATTAGGGAGCCTTTGGTTGTGATTGGTTTGATTGAATTGATTCTTTAAATTAAGTGGAATTGCGGCGCTAATGTAAAATGTACTTTGGTTTTATATAAACTGTAAATCAAAGTACACAATATGTAAACTAATGGGACTCCTATTTTTTTACAGTTTGCAAATAAACTCGTAAATTCTTCTCAACTATGCAACAAAACAATTTACAACCAACTTTCATTTTCTTCTTCTTCTCTCTTCTTCTTCTTCTTTTCTGGTTTCCCCTAAAAACTTTAAGCTTTTGTCAATTTGTATTCCTTCTCCACATAACTACATCAATAAGATTTATTTATAGACAGATATATACCACAAAGATTAACCTCCCGCCGTTCTTCCAATTCATTGCAATTTCTCAAACCTGATTTCTTTTTGTGGATTTATTTACCCGCTGAGTGTACAACAACAGCCACAACAACCACAACAACAACATGGCATTCTTATTCAAGAGAGATCCAAAGACTCCAAAGACTCCTCAAGACTTAGTTCGAGCATTAACCGATCTGGTCCAGAAGCTAGATATCAATAATGACAATAATAAGAAATATCAAGATGATTGTGCTAGATATTTAAATCAAATGAAAATCATCTTACATGGAGATGATGAAAATGATCCCCAACCAGATCAAATTACATTATTAGCACAAGAAGTTCATTCCGGAGATTGCTTATATCATTTGATTTATAATTTACGAAAATTGGATTTTGATTCTCGAAAAGATGTTGTTATATTGTTTCTGACTCTTTTACGACGACAAATTGGGACAACTAGCAATAAGTCCTCTCCAACTGCTGAATATTTGGTTAATAATAAACCTAACATTATATTGATGTTAATGAAAGGTCCTGAACTGCATGAGATTGGGTTAATATGTGGTCAAATATTACGAGATTGTATTAAATATGAAAATATAAATCGATTTATACTTTATCATCCAACCTTTTGGAATTTCTTTAAATATGTTCAAATACCAATCTTTGAAATTGCTACTGATTCATTTACAACTTTACATGACTTATTAACTAGTCATAAGAAATTAGTGGCGGAATTCTTGGCAACAAATTATGATACTTTTATTATTGCTTTTAATAAATTAATTCAATCAAATAATTATGTTACAAAGAGACAAAGTGTTAAATTATTAAATGATTTATTAAAGAAACAAAATCAAACATTTTTAAATAAATATTTCGATGATATTAATAATTTGAAATTAATTATGTTGATTTTAAGTGACAAACTGAAGAATTTACAACGAGAAGGGTTCCATGTATTTAAATTCTTTGTTGTTAATCCAAGAAGATCACAAAAAGTACTTGACATATTGGTGAAAAATAAAGAAAATTTCATAGAATTCTTTAATACTTTTGATATTCAAGGATTTCATGATCCTACATTAGCAAATGAAAGAGATTATGTTTTGGAACAAATAAAGAATCTACCTGATATAGAAAGAATTCATTAGACACCACCCCTCATCCCAGTCATTATAAAACAAGACCTCTTGTGTTTATTTATCTATAAAAGAGTCAATTAAATAAATTAAAAAAAACTCTATCTAATCTAATCTATTGTGCAACTCTAGACCAATTCTTATAAGATTCTTCACCGTATTGGATCTTTCTAATCCATTCAGCGACTTGAGCAGTTAATTCACCAGAATTACCAAGACTTACAGGAACTGCAATATCCTTTCCTTTGAATCCAATATTATTGATTGGAGAAACAACTGCGGCAGTTCCTGCTCCAAATGCTTCTACTAATTCACCTTTAGCTGCGCGTTCTTCAACTTCATAAATAGTATATTTACGTTCAGAAATAGTCCATTCTGAAGCAGGTAATCTTTCCCTTGCCAATTCTAAAATAGAATCACGAGTAACCCCTTCCAATATAGTTCCATCTAAGGGTGCGGTAACTAATTCCTTCTTTTTAGTTTGCGCGTCCTGGAACACAAAGAATGCATTCATAGTACCCACTTCTGTAATATATCCTTCTTCACCAAACAACCACAAATTTTGGTGGAATCCTCTCTTGGCAGCTTCTAATTGTGGTAATACACATGGCGCATAATTCGCACCCAATTTCTTATCCCCCACACCACCAGGCCAAGCTCTGACTGCATAGTCAGTAGCCTCCAATGAAACTGGCTTGAATCCACTCGAATAATATGGACCAACAGGTGAAGCAATTACATACAACAAAGCACGGTCAGGAGTACCTACCCCAAGGGAAGCTGTTGTTCCAATCATAGTTGGTCTTAAATAGAGTGAATATCCTTTTCCTTCCGGTACGAAATCTTGATCAAGAATTAATAATTTATCAATCAATTTCTGTAATTCTTCTCCATCAAAAGTAGGTAATGCGATTCTTTGGGCCGAAGTATTCATTCTAATCATGTTTTTGTCTCCTCTGAATGTTCTGATTTGGTTGTTGGTGTCCCTATATGCTTTCATACCTTCGAATAATTCAAATGCATAATGGAAGACAATTGTGGAGGGGTCTAATGATAGATTATGATATGGGGAGATGGTTGGGGTTCCCCAACCGTGTTGTTTTGTCCATTCGATCTCTAACATGTGATCGGTGAAGGTTTTCCCAAACACTAATTTCTCCTTTGGGATTTTTGGTTTTGGGGTTTTGGTTCTTTCGATGACTAATTTGGTAGAATCTAATGGAGATTGGTGAGAGGAATTGAATCTGATCCACTGTTTGGTTATAGGAAGGGCGCATCCCCTTCTGACAAGCATGGAAGCGGTCCTGGCTGTTTGCATAGTTCCTTAAGTCTTAATAGGGTTCAGTAAAAGAAGAGAGAGTGAAAGAAGAAGAAGTAGGAGGAGAGAAGGAAGGAAGTTGTATCTTGTAATTATAAATGAGTCAAAAAAATAATTGATTGTGTGAAATTTGTGGAAAATTTCTTTTCCATTGAAAGGCTCATATCGGCGATATTTTAAGCGAAATCAGAAATTCAATATAAATATGGTGTGCGTGTAACAATTGGTAGCATCTATGACTAATCTCTTCCAATATTGCAGTTCTGATATCTACAATCTATAACCAATTTAATTGAGGATAGTCACCGGTACAAATGTGCTGATTATTCTCCATGGGACTTTATTTCTGGTTGCGAAAAAGGAAGGAATTCTTTTAAGAATTAAGCCCAAAGAATTTATTATATCACAAAAACCAAAGAAAGAACACAAATGGGATGAGATCGCCAGGTGATGCCCTTATAGACATCTCTGATGTTTTAGTTAAAAGGAGTGGTCGCATTTTATGTACAGTGATATTGATCGTGCATTTTGGGATATCATGATAGTAGAGATCGCAATATCAACGGAGCCTGTGAGGAGCTGGTAATATAATGGCTGGGTTTGTTACATGTTATTCGCGCCATGCGTTTGTGTTTTACTGTTATATAAAGTGATGAGGGCCTTTTGTAGCTTTCTACTAGACAAATTTATTCTCAATGCCGGAAAACAAGAGAAGGAACAATCACCTTTCGGTAGAATAATCTCTTTTTCTTTTTACAAAATGGGAGATCTTTAACCAGGTAACGGGTCTTTCGAGCTGCACAATATACCGCCTTTTAGGGTGATTATTAAGTGACTTAGTTCTAGGGTTTTTCTAACCCGTAATGGCGATTTGTGGGATAACGGCGATCTCGCTCTTTATCATCATTTGAAAGATAGCAAGCTGTTTATTCACTATATAAATGAGAGAGAACAAATCTATCGTTTATCGTCTATATATGAAGTTTAACTTACAGTAAAATATCAAGGTGTTATTCCTGGGGTGCTTATTAGATAATAAAGAGGGGAATAATACCATGTGAAGCTGAGGTGAGAGACTCTTTTTCAAATGGAATCTACCAACTATTTTTTTTCAAAACATACCATATGCTGTGTTTCAATATGCTGTGTTTTGAAAAAAAGCTACTTGGAAGATTCCATTCTTGGGGGGGATTCTCAATACACCAATATGTTTGCAATTGCCAACCTCTCACTCTTTGCCGAATATTTCTATTAACCGTTTGATTCTTCTCCTCTTCCTCTCTTTTTAATATTAGAAACCTTAATAAAAATTTGAAAGAAAGTGATTGAAAAGGTTGATTGTTTTTTTTACAACCAAAGTTTTTTAAAACAAAGCGTTAAAATAAAAACCAGGCACACAGAAAAAAAAAAAACTTTTTCTCTTTTGTTTGGTTGTCGCGCAGTAACTTAAACGGCGAGTTACGCAACAAATTTTACAACCAACGAATAGGCTATATTCGATGTCAGTTGGGTCAGAACCAGATTATCGTAACTCTTAAATAGCATCACTTGATCTCTTTAACCTATGGATCAGGATAGCATATTCACCGTATATGAATAAGCAGTACACGTAATCTAAAGTCTTATATTAAAAACCTTGCCGTAATTCTTGACAATTTCTACAAAAGAGAAAATACATATAAAAGTCCTAAAACTCATTTTTCTAACTCTTTCCACGAAACAGTGAAAACTTTTCCAATATGCGAATTTGGCTGAATATATGACACTCGTCAGTATCATAAAAACAACTCAAAATGCGATAAAGCGTAAATTCAGTCCCAGAAATCACTATTGACTTTCTTGGGATTTTTCTCAAGAGTGAACACGTGATTCAGATTGTTCACTCGTGGCGGACTAACCTAGTTTGCGACAAACACGGTTAGTGTCCGACATTGGTGAGAGAATTAGGAATTGGAAAATGAGAGGATTTTTAATTAAAGGGAACAANCTTCCCTTAGCAACACTTCTTTTGACCATTCAAAATCAATAGATGCCTTAAATTTTCATAATTCCACGATGCGCAAAATCCAATAAATTCAGAATGGCGCGCTTTTTACCACAACTATGCATAAAAAATAATTCAAATATACGAGCTTAAGCGAAAAAATAAAATACAATAGAAACATGCCTAGAAATAGGCTTACCTGTTGTAGTATACAAATGATCGGCCCCATTCAATAATAATATAGAACCTTCAAGAAACTCACCAGCAGAATTAAGAGATACAAATCTAGAATTTTACAAACACATAAATAAAAATAATATTAAAAAGCACTAAATTAATTTTCAAACAAAGGAGCAATTAGGTTTGCAGCCTCATTTCCTAAATGAATTGGAGCGTCGTAATCAATACTGAAAACAGAAACGGAAGTAGCGCATTCTCCACTAAGAACAATCGAATATTCAGAAGGCAATGTACAGTCACCTATTTGGCATGTCCGTAAAGCATCTCCACCCGGTTGGAACGCAAAGTAAAAAAGATTCGAAGTGGAATTGTATGCAAGACCTGGCATGACCGATGGATCTCCTGTTAATCTAGTTCTGACCCATCTTGGATTAGTACAGGTCTCATTTAAGTAACCAACAGCCGGAAAGTTAACGTTAAGACCGAGACCAATTGGTAAAGCCCTTTCGTTGACACCTTGGGTTTCGAAAAGTTGTGTGACCATTTCGGTGATTTTGATAGCATAAATGGTAGATGCATCTAAAGGATCATCTAAATCTAAATCATCTTGGTAGAACGAGTTATTAGTGGAAGGACCAGAGAAAGCAATGGCTGGGATATCTCTGTAAACAGCATTATAGACTGCGCCAAGCGTACCGGAAAGGGTAAACAAACTTGGAGAAACGTTTTGACCTTCATTTGGACCGGAAACAACCAAATCGATTTTATCGCTGATATTGAAGTGGGTTGGCAAAAGATATGATTCAGCAAAAGCAAAGCAAGAAGCTGGGGATCCATCGAAGTACCAGATATGATCATCATCAACCTCATGACCCCAGGATGGAGCACCAGCTTTAGGGTAGGAGAAATCACCATCTGTTTCCAAACTTGGGGCTTTTGGGATATCGTATGTACCTCCCCAGCCAGTTCTTTGTGACACGGGTGCAACTAAGTAAACATCATGTCCTGTTTCTTTCAACTTATAGTACGTTGCTCTGATATTGGTGACCGCCCAACCATCATCATTGGTCAAAAGGATCATTTTAGATAAAGTAGTAGAAGCTAAGGCTAAAGTAATTGCGAAGACAATGAATTGCTTTGCCATTTGTGTGGGTTGACTATGGAATCGTAATTCTGGAATTGAAAATTTAAGTGATTGCTAGCTGTCAAAACAGAAAGCCCATTTTGATGAGATCTAAATTTTTAGATGTAATCTCTGTTGCATACGGTCTGCAGGGATGTCATGTGACGCTGGGTGATGGCAGAGTGCCAAGATTTTTCCCAGTCGAGCAATCCCTATTTTCTGTCGTCCTTGCTTTTGCAATTATGGTATAATTGGTACCATTTCACGTCACCACATAAAATCAGAGAAAATTGATATCCTGACAGTTTCTCAAATAGGAAGGTCATGTTTCCAGGAAAATCACACGTGCGCCGGAATAAACTGAATCGGTGATACTTCCTTCATTGCTTTACACTAGTGATTCAAAATTTTGCACCACCCCAATGACTAGCAAGAATTTGCCAAGAAAATACCAACGTAAAGTTTGAACCATTTTGGGTAAACAAAATAATAGTGCAAAAAAAGTAAATGGGCTGGTTTAATCTAAAGTAGTTCCATATGTCGCCAATCTATTGCTTCTACTATATTGAGTGGCGAGACAGTAGAGGACACAATGATGTTCATAATCCTTCCAGAGATTATGCAGCTAGTGTGTTCTGGCGTTTCTTGAACAACGGTTACTAATTGCACTAACGGATCATGACATTCATGTATTGGTGTTTTGATTCGGAAGCGCTACCACATACATATTCTATTTCATTTGCAAAGTTTTGCATAGTTGCGTAGTTATAGAGAATTGATATTGCACCGACTTAGAACATCAGGAAGTCAAATATGAGTCTCCATCTTCCTCTTGTTCAAGCAAAGGGCCACGACATCAGACGAAAGACTATATTTATTCTTCGGATATCCAAATAGTTATTGATTGGTGAAGGAAAGGGATTGAAGTGGGAAATATACGAGGTTGCTATTTATTTATTCACTTCATATAGGATTTTATAAATTTAATATTTTTGAACCAGAACTTCTCTTCAGTACAATTTCGTGACTCCTATATGGCTAGGCGTTCGTGGCATGTTCTTCGCATAAATTTCTCTTAGAGGAAGGGGGGGGGGGGGAATAGCTGAACTTATCCAAATTTTTGAACGCCCGAGAACCACAAGAAACCAAATATATATATCTCAAAAGCTCCACGGTGCAAAATTTATGTCCTTCTACAAATTTCTGGTTTGTTGAAGAAAACCCCTGAGCTCGAGGCTTGTACTTTGTTCATAGATAAATATGTATAAAAGAGAAAGTTAGACGAAAAGGCCCCTTAACAACTAGTAACGAAAAAGAATTGAAAACCTACATACAACAGCAACCAAAATTAGTTTTCGAATAATGGAGCAATTAGGTTTGCAGCTTCTTGACCTAAGCTGGTTGTAGCATCATAGTCAATGCTGAAAACAGAAACAGAAGCGGAACAGTCTAAGAACCCAACAACCCAAGATTCAGATGGCAATGTACAGTCACCTACTTGACATGTTTGAAAAGCAGCAGCAGAACTGTAGGTACTGTAAACCCAGACGAAAAGTCCAGAAATGGCATCATATTCAATATCTGGACCAGCAGAAGCTTCTCCGGTAAGTCTAGTTCTGACCCATTTTGGATTGGTGCAGGTTTCGTTTTGATATCCGACGGCAGGAAAGTTGACATTAAGACCAACACCAACAGGTAAAGCACGTTCGTTGTCACCTTGGGTTTCGAAAAGCTGAACAACCATTTCGGTGATCTTGTTCGCATAAATTGTAGATGGTTCCATTCCATCATTCAAGTCCAAGTCATCTTGGTAGAATGAGTTGTTGGTATTGGCACCAGAGAAAGCAATAGCTGGAAGGTCTCTGTAGACAGAGTTGTAGGTAGCACCAAGGGTACCGGAAATGGTAAATAAACCTGGAGATAAATTTTGACCTTCATTTGGACCTGAAACGACTAAATCGATCTTGTTGCTGTTATTGAAGCGGTTTGGTAAAAGGTAAGAAGCACTAAAAGCAACACAAGAAGCCGGAGTACCATTGAAATACCAGATATGGTCATCATCAACTTCGTGACCCCAAGATGGAGCACCAGAACAAGGATAGTTGAAACCACCATCAGTTTCTAAAGTTGGTAATCCTGGAAGATCGAATTTACCACCCCAACCTGATCTTTGGCTAACTGGGGCAACCAAGTAAACATCGTGACCAGCCTCTAACAACTTGTAGTAGGTTGCTCTAATGTTGGTAGCAGCCCAACCATCATCATTAGTTAAAAGGATGGTTTTAGCTAAAGTAGTAGAAGCTAAGATCAAAATGATTGCTGAAGTAAAGAATTGCATTATTGGAAAATTTGTTAGTGAAAGAAATAATCAAGCTGCAAAAGTAAAACATGGCCAGATTAGGAGCTTCTTATAGTTTTCGGAGCCACGAGCTTTATCAGGACTTGAGATTTGAAGCTCATACCTTTGTATTCTTAGGATCTTCATCCCTTTTCCTCCAAAGTTTTCTTCATTATGATATAAGCATTTACCTTTTTGGTAAACAAATGACTTGCATAGTATTCCACGTGTTGTAGTTCACAATAATCTATTGGTCATCTTAGTCCAGAACCCGTTATCAAAAGGCCATTACATGGCTACGGCTCTTTTTTGAGTTTTTCTAGACTCTACTACAGCCAATCCATAGGGCATTGGATGGTGTACATTGAAAGTTTAATTTTGAAAATTTAATTGTTGCAAATTATTTTTTTGGGCCACCATGCATAGACTAAAAAGTAATTTTCTACGGTCAAAAAAACGTGGCAAACTTGTACGGGATAGCGAAACAAATTAAAGGGAATCAAGGAATATAGGAGTGGGTTATTTGAGGCTTTTGAGATTCAGAAAGGTTTTGTCAAGTCAATGCTTTGTAATTGTTTGTGCCCCCGAGGAATAGACATTTCGTAAATTAAAGGAGTTCTGTTTCTAAACCAGTTCTCAAGCCTAAGAAATGGAAATGATTACACAAGTCTCTGGATTAGACTTCCTGATTGAAAAGATAAACATTTCTAGAGAATTAGATTGAATCTTGATGAATGAAGAAGCCGGTTTTTTTTCTTAAATTAACTAGGAAGATTATATAATTGGAGATAACTATACACAAAAACCTACTCTTATTGAGTTATCCCAAAAGATAGCGTATAATATGGGAAGTCGCATAATGAAATTTCTAATATTTCTTTACGACAATGAGAATTTCATTAGATGTTGTGGTAGGATGTAATCCAAGGTCCGATATGAAAGAGGAAGAACAATAAAACAATAGAATAAATAAGTGCAAGCTTCATAAAAGAACACACGGGCTATGCCTATAGCATAAATGAGAGCTGAGTATCCTAATTCCCCCGACTATAATAATAAAAAAAAAGAATAAACATAAAAATGAATGAGGGAGAAGCTGCGTATCCTGGTTCTCCCGACCAACATAAATATAAATGGAGAATCTGAGTATCCTGATTCACCCCATTACCCGGACATCCGTAATGGACGAATAAAAGAAAAAGAATGTTGAAATGTGACATCGATAGGTCGCAAGTGAGAGAATTATCGTCCAATCAGAGGAGAGGTCACAATTCTCCGAGTGGAAAATCTGTTGTCCAGTTTGAAAAAAGAACTTATCAAAATTTTAAATTACTTTCTTTCTCTTTATATAAAGTATTGGTTTTTAGAAGAATAAATTGAACTGTATAGTTTTAATAAAGTTATTGAAGTTATATAAAAAGTTATCAAGTGAGAACTAGAACTACAACTCGCGTATCTAAAGTATTTCCACATATTATAGATACTGTACACTCAGACAAATATTCCCCTCTATTTAGAAATAGATCATTCATAATAAGAAGCTATCCATATTTCATTCCAGGTTAGCTAATTAGAAATTATAAGACAAATTAATCAACGCACGCACTGGGCAAAACTTTAATAGATTAGAAGTCAAAGGCTTAATCACGGTTTGGTTTTACCTTTGATTTTTCCTTTGATATTTGTTTTACATTATAGTTTCTAAGATGACCCTAAACACGAAGCAAAAGGCTGCTCTTGCTGGGTTAGCTAAGGAAGCCGGATACGATGACGTTGAAGATTATGCTGCGGATCATTTGAGTTCCAATAATAAAGAAACAGAAAAAGAAGCTTACCAAGATGCTACTACGATGGGTGACGCTGCGAAGAAGATCTTTGAAAATCATCCAAAGTTAGATAAAAGCTCCTCCAATCAATGGATGAAGGAATCGAAAACTGCGAATATTTACTTTTATTTGTACCTAAAGAATTTAATTTTCTAACTTTCGATTTTGGAAAGTTAGAAAATTAAATTCTTTAGGTACAAATAAAAGTAAATCTTTATTCGCTGTTTTCGATTCTGGAGCGAGCTGGTGCGTGGTTAATTCCGTGGAATATTTGACTAACGTTAGATATGACTTAACCGCCTCACAAGCATTGTTTTTCAATGCTAATGATGAACCTCTTTTTGCATATGCCTTAGGAGACTTGGAACTAGACATTAAAGGCTACATTGTAAGTTTAAAAGATGTTACTGATGGTATTCCACATAATTTGTGTTATCAGTTGGTCAAATTACAAAATGTAATGACATTGGGATTTATTTTCATGATTGCCAAATGGATATTTACAGATATAGTTCTAAGAAAATATTACTGACAACAGATAAGGATGCATTAACTGATTTATACGTGACTGAAATAACGGTGGCAAAACAGAGACACAAGCTGAAGATAATCAATGCAATAGTAAAGGATGCAGACATCCATACAATATTTACATTACCACTGATGCCGGATAAAGGAGATAATAGTTTATTAAGCTTGCATCTTAAATACAACCATATGGCATTAGACTCATTAAAACATACTCCAGAATATAAGACATGTAGGGTAACTGAACAATGCTTAACTGGAATTAGACATTGTCCAATTTGTAGGACATCCAATGCTACTCAAAGACCTCATAATAATATGACATCCCGTGAAGCTACTAGAATCTTAGAGAAAATTCATTGTGATACATTAGGGCCATTTAAGGGTTTAAGTTTTTTCAGATCGAGAGACAAGAAATTAAGTCTTATTCCTCAAAAATACTATATTACAAATATTATTGATGAATTTAGTAAATACGTGGTTTCAATTATTTCAACAACAAAAAGTATTGGTAAAGTCTTATTTGAAGAATTGGATATGTTGAATAATAAGTTTAGTGGAGTTAGAATTGCTAATTTTAGAGCTGATAATGCACCAGAATTATCTGATATTCAAAGTTTTAGAGATAGAGGAATAAATAGAGAACAAGTTCCCTCTTATTCTGCAGAATTATATGGAATTGCTGAAAGAATAGAACTTTGCTTGACGAAATTAGAAGATGTATTTTAGGTTTCAACAAACATATTGGTCATGCTATGGTATTGTTTCCAGAAATAGTTAGATATGCGGTCACAAATCATAATTTCACTCCAAGAAAATCAAAAGATTATGTTACACCCTTCACTGAATTCAATGATAACCATGAGTTTGTATTTCAACCAGTCCAATTTGGCATAAATGTATATGTTAAATTTGTCAAATGAACAAGAGGCTAATAGTTTAGGTCACAAATCCAAGAACAAAGGGTACCCAAAAGTTGCATATGGTTCGTTTGTGGGTTACACATCAGATAGTAACTCATTATTGGTGCTTTTCCAGGCGCCAAGGTTCCCAATCCGATCAACTCCCAACATGACAGTGAAACCATCTTTTAGTAATATGGAAAAATTTTTGTAGTGGTATTGCTAATGAAGATGTTTTAGAAGGTGCAGCTTTATACGATAGACTTGATGAAGTATTTCTGGATGAAAATTTAATGGATGACATCCTGGGAATTCAAAATCAAGAATCAGATGTTGAACTTATCCCATCAATTTATATGCAGGATATAGAACCAGCACCGATTAGCTTCCAAGAAATATCAGAAGAAGATGAACAGTTTGAGATTGTTCCAGAGATTGAGGATAATATGGTAGAGCTAAACACTTCAAATAATTCATTGTTGAGAGAATTAATGGCAAAATACCCAGAGGTAGCCAATGAGAGGATTATTAGTTTGCAAAACCTTCACCCGGAGTTGCATTTTCCATCACCTGTTGACGATGAAGCTGCTGAGAATATACAGTTTACTGAGGACAACGATATGAACCCAGTTGTTGCTGACGTTGATATCCCCCCTGTAATTTTATCCAATGATCCACCACCACTACATATTTATGAAGAAGCACCAACCTATAAATAAAGAATTTGTGATAAAGAAAAACGAACCTATATAGAAAACCAACTAATAATACAACAACCATGATGATGATTATTATGCATCTGTTAACTCTCTAAAATATATATGTGTTCTCTGAGCTATAACTTCAACAGATGTGACTTCCAGCACTAATCTGCAGCTTTAAACTAAAGGGCAATAATGCTGGACACAACGTGCAATAACTAATAGTCTCGTAAGCCTATAGCACGAAAGGGACTGGGGATTAACTTTTCGAAAATCCCCACATGCCAGGAGAACTTGCAATTGTGGCCATTCCCTGTACAACCTTCTAGAGTAATCTTAATTTGGACATTCGCTTGTCAGAATCATAATTGTCTAGCTAAACCTTTTGGGACTTCCGAATTCTTCAGTAGAGAAAGTTTTGATTACGTAGATGCTTTTGCAGTGGTGGTTTCTCTAATCTGCAATCTGAATGGTCCGATACGAATCCACTTTCAGGGGTATGAGTAATTACTATAAGGTTTCAACTGTTGGGGAAATCGTTTCTCAATGAGAATGAAAAGGACCTATTAGGGAATATGGAGAGAATTTTGGTTCAACTTGGAATCAGGTTACGAAAGGAGGAGGTCGATCTGGCCAAAGTTCTGGCTGATTCAACTCCATATCTAGTGCTTTTTCAAGAAGTATGTCCAGGGACATGATACAACATCGTTTATTATAAGCTTCTATATAAACAAAAACATTGCTTTTACAGAAATAACAAATAAAGGTAGCTCAAATGGTAAGGTTAGCACTTCCGTCTCTGTCGTATATACCCCTGTTTCTAATATATGGATCCAATGCAATATAATTCTTACTTAATTGAATTGATAAATCGAGCTTGTCTTTATAATACCTGTCCGAAACAGCAGGATTGGTTGATTCGATCCATCTTTTCGTGGTTTCGAAAAATTTCAAGTATATTTCATCTCTCTCCATTCTCAATTGGCGATACCGTGCATCCTTCCTTTTTGGTGGTTTATCATCAAATCCTTCTGGAGGGTAGTAGGGTTTGTTTTTGTCTTCTCCTCCGAGATAATCGGGTAGGAATTCAGGTTCGATATATTTCGAAAGATCCTCAATACTGTTAGTGAAATTGATCTTGGCAGCCACGAAAGGATCAATCCATGGTCTTACTATTTTCCAGAAGATAGAAAAGATCCTAGGAGCGTTGTGAACTAATATAAATCCTAGAGTTTCGGGATAATGTGCTTCTAAACAGGTTGCTAAAAATTTGATAGCCGCATAATCAGCATTTTTCAATGAAAAACCAGTCTTATCAAACAAGACAGTAAAAGTGTCGCACAATTCACTTACATCTCTCAAAAACATTCTAAGCCATTCAATCATCACGATAATCCATCTTTTGGTTTGATCAATAGGAGAATCAGTAATAAAATGTTTCTTAGCTTGGAAGAAAAATATTGGATTGTTGAATTTATCACGACCCTTAATCCAGCCTTCATCAGCCATCAAGTTCGTTGTAAACCCTTTATTGATTCCATTTAAGTATGAAGGGCCATCTGATTCAAACACCCACAAGTCGGCAGGCATTTCGTTTATCCTCCAATTTAGAGTGCCAAAAAGCATATTGATAGCTTTTTCTACATCCAATTTTCTGGCTCTGACATATCTTAAGCACATATTGTCAAATAAATCAGTTCTGCAGGCTCGAACAAGACCAAGATGCATCTCACGAGGATTGTATTTAGCAAGAAACGGAAGAATGTTAGTTCTGGGGTGCACTTTGTTCCGACTGGCGGAGAAAGGCTTATATAGGGTTTTCTTGGATATGAGGAGGTCTTGTTGGTCCTCTATAAATGTAGGAGTAAACTCCAACGCGGATAGGGAAGTAACCGCAGTGACATATGACTCGGTCGAGTATAAGGAATCATTATCATAATCTTCTTCATCCAGGTCTACATAATCGTCAGCATATTCATAGGACAGTTTGTAATATTGACCAAATACTTCATAAAATTTTTGACTGGGGGTTATGACTGGATAGTACCGTTCTTGGGAAGATTGAGTTTGGATTTGTAACATTCTTCTGGAATCATGTGGTGGTGAATCTTCTTCAATATGCTTCCTGAAAAAGCCTCTCCTTTTCGAAGATGTAGTGGATTTACCACTAGTAGAAGCTTTGGTTATCATATTAGCTAATGATATGGGAGCGAGTTGTGACTCGTCAAGTTGAGTTGTGCTTGTGCTAGCTATGAAACATTCCTTGTATTTGAGATCTTCAGGGTCGATATCGATGTCGTAACCAAAATACTTAAACACATAAGCCAATGATTGCTTAAGAAGAATCTCTTGCTCTCCAGTAAGCACTTGGTATCTTCCTGGCCGATATTGTACTTGTTTGTCAAACATTAGGGGTGGGTGCGGATTTTGTAAGTTTAGGTAAAGAATCACCTCTCAATTGGAAATTGGAAATCATCATGCATTAATATGAGATTTTTTGGTGGTACCATGTGGTGGAAGGGAGTACATTCGTTGAGAGATTTCAAAATTGATGCAGAGGAGTTGAATTATTAAAAGCATATGAAAACAATTTAAGTGATATTTAAAGTGTCTACAAATTTGCATTATTTTGTAAGGACCAATAAATTGTCATGCATAAATAATCTCCTTACATTCAAACATTAGGGGGACTATTGCTGGATAGATCCCTTATAAAAGCTTCTTTTTGCATCCTGAAGAGAATAAATTAGAAACTATTGGCCTCATCAATTATTGTTATCTATGGTGCAATGAATCTTGTATTTTTGTTGCAATTTCAGAAATGCCCCTTGTCGAATCCCTACAGGGGCAAGAAATATATAATGACAAGTGCTATTAATAAAACAACATATCTAAGAGTTCTTTATAATGGATTACTCCAAAAGTATTCAAATTGTAGTGGAGGAATAGTCTTTCTTCCTCCCTTCTTGAACAATTGCAAAACAACGCAATTGGTTGAAGTCGAATCTCACAAAAATATTTTTGCCTAATAATTTTAGTTATGTCATTGTGCTGTATCTTACATATAAATAATTTCGAATATTCCAATTTGAAGTTTAATGGGGCGGGATGGTTGTAATCCAATAGTGATTCCACTCCCAAATCTCAGAAGGAAGGGGGTTCAGCTTAAGGGTCAAGGTTCCAACCCAAACTCATATCCTTACGAGTCACTTCTATCACAGACAACGATTATAACTCTCGTGTTCAAGAATGAGCATTGATGGATAAGTAAACTCGTATTTGACAAAAATGACAAAAGTTATCTTGAAATGAGGGGAACCCATTCGTTCATATCTATTTGAATCTTCGCAAAGTTTAAGAGACAATCTCGTTGTTTCTCAATTTTTGAGTCTCCCCATTTAACAATTATAAAAGTATGGCCATTGATTTATAGACGAATTATTTTAACTTTCTATAATATTTACACAGTTAACCAACTACGATAAGATTACGAAAACTAAACTTCCAAATGTGACACCACGTTAATGATGCCTCTTGGTACATTGCTCTGCAAAAAGTGAACGGTTTTGGCTGCGAAATATTTGAGTGATTATATGCAGGGCTTTTTTAGGTTTGGAATGCATTTTACTACCAAATTTTGAATAGAACTATAAACATGGGTACGAACAAAGTGTATTGCAAATGTGCTGAAGTATATGCCACATGGATATTGAATGGGGATGCTGAAACTTTTAATAATTTGTTTGTTTTACAGACTAAAAAAGAAGAATAAAAAAAGGTTCTACCGTTTTCTGAAGAATCTAAGTTCTACACTTTTTTGACAGACCTGCATATAAAACATCTGGGATACTAATATGGTTTATGACATACAACTTGTCCCTTTTTCATTCATATATTTAATTGAGAGAATATTAATTCTGGTGAAAACGTAAAGCCAGAGATGGATTTGTGTTAGCTGTGGAATTCCGGTTTGTGTAGTGCCTGTTAAATCAAAGAAAATCCCAATTTGGGCTATTTTAGTTGACTAGGTCGGACTTAAAAACGTCGCTACGCATGAAATTTCGTATATCTAGTTCAATTTCATGCTAACAAAGTGTATTTGAAAAGATGTAAAGAAGAAGGTTAATAGAGTTTCATTAACGATGTTATTAATTTTAATAATTAGAAATTCAATATGGGAAAAACTTCCATACACTTTTCGCTTTTTTTCTGTGTGGACTTCCCCAAAGACACCATATAAAAATTCACTATTTCTATTACGATCTACGTATCCTAGAGAAGAGTAGAGTTAAATCGTGAGAGAATGGAGCCTTTCTTCTACTCCAATAGATACAATAATGTAAATTACATAATAAGAGAGCCTTCAGCATCCTCAAGGAGTTAGAAACCATAAGTTTCAAGCATCCTTCTTTCCGGAGAACAAGAATACTCTTGCGATTCCCAACTATCGCCAACACCAAGAAAATATACAAAATCTCAGGGAAGATAACATGCGATAGACCGGAACAGGAACCTTTCGGAATGGAGAAAAAGACAATAGCGGCGGTTAGGAAACATTTTTACCTCCACTTTCTCTCCACATGAAGTTTCAAATTTCTAGTTTGGAAGATATTTACTTGCGCTCTCCTAATCAGGGAATTAGTAAACTCCTGACATATCTCTGGCATCCTCCTGAACAATCATCACCAGACAGCTATGTGTTCGAATACATTGACCCCTATTCGTTAGCTTATATAGTGAAGTAAGCGATAATCTTAACGCTCATTATCTCGCTTGAAGTTGCAAAAAATCATACCATTCAGAAAACTGAGTGTCATTGAAAAGTTAAGCTTTTTTACGAAGTATTTGGTGACACCACCACCATATACACACTTCCAAAACAAAAAAAGGGGAGGTATCGTATGAGGACACAAGACCTTTGAAATAGGGGGTAGAGATCTATACAGGGTTCTTACACATTTTAATATGTGGTTGTAACCCACAATTTGGAGTCAAAAAGACAAGAAAAAAAAAAACCAATTGCCCCAAATTCTGAACCCGGAGTTGAGAGGAACAAAAAAAAATTAGTTTGGAGATTTATAGCGATCAGACAGAAAAAAGCGAAATGATAAACGGGAAGTTGTAGCCGCTAACTAAAAAAAAAATAACGTCGACTAAAACAAACTGTGGAACGTCGTAAATTGAAAAATTCTAACCTGAATTCAATTGTCTATTTGAATATCAATCAGTCAGACAATTATGGTGGGGTAAAAGTTAAGAAAAACTTTATATATACACCAACTGATGATGAATAATAAAACGGGTACCACAACTAACGATAAAATAATTTTTGTCAAAGGAAGTTGCAGTCAATTATTTTTCATAACTTTAAATAAAAAGAAATCGATGTTACAAAAGACGATATGATGAGCTAACTAATGATAATTTATGTGTCACTCCATAAATTCCCCCTCACTTCAACCCCCCCTCCTAAATAGTCCCAAGAAAAATCTCTTTCTGTGCAAATAAAATAGAATTGTGAGGTAATAATGAAAAATGCCATTCAAACTAAAAATTTTATTTTTATTGATTAAAACAAAAAAACGACACAAACTAAAAAAACCGTTTTATTTTTTTTAATGTGTGTGTTAAAAAAAAATATATTTCAATTTCGATTGTTCCATGAAAGAATTCTTTTAGTAAGAAACAATTTTCTTGAAATTACAAGAAAGAAAAAGATAACAGTTTTTAATTAAATGAGGGTTTTCTCTTCTTTTCTTATCGTTTAATAATTGAATGTAATTAATGGATAATTGATTGTTAATTTCATTAATAAACAAATCTGTACCAATTCGTATGTACTGTAATCAAATTCCCAAAAAAGAAAAGAAAAGCACTTTAGAATGTAATCTCGGTGTTAAAATTTTGTTGCTGCGTAATATGTGTTAAAAATGGTCCGTAAATTTTATTTTTCTTCTCTCTCTAACAAACTACCTAGCCAACTAAATAGTTAGTGCAAAACAATATGCGCTATTTTTTTTCATTGGATTATTGTGAACTTCCCTCTCACAATACTCGATCGGGTTTATACAAATGCGCTAGAAATTTGTCATCAACCCAAAAAAAAATCTCTCGGAAAAATACGTTCAGAAAAGTGTCTGAAAAAATATCACTCTCGAACCTAAAAAAAAAAAGAGGAATTTTAAAAAAAAAAATAAATAATATGCGCTTAACGTAAACAGAAATCTAAAAATTCCAAAAGAAACTTCACAACAATTGCAGCCGTTACAGCAAGGTATTTGTTAGTGTAATTCAGAATGCCTTTCAGTTTTTATGGATAAATGGCCCTATACAGGGCGGCCCCTGTACAGTGTACAGTCTCAGATCCAAGTCCTTATCGACAACAATAAGTTAGGCTACTTTAAGGACACGTATGATTACTGAATAATACATCGCTTGTAGTACGTCATAATAACGGCGAAATAAAACACTTTCTTCAATTGCTCTGGGGTAAAATTGAAAAACTTTCTGAAACAAAGAGTAAAAATGACACCTGCTGCTGTTTACTTTCTATCCTAATTCTATTCGAGATCGGTTGATTTTTACTAAATAAATAGGTAAGAACCCTGTTTAAATTCAGACATCATTCTTGAACATATCTGCGCATTAGAGCAGAGTAATATGGGGAAAAGCCCAATAAATGAATAGCGCTAAGATTGTGAGATTCTTTATGTAAAATTGTCGGTATTTTTGCAAAACCCCAATTAGGTAACTGCTAGTATGCGTCTACATTTCTATGTGCATACTTCTGTATAATACCGATCTAAATAAACAAGAAAAAAAGTGTCTGAAATTCTTCAAAAAACCAAAATTTCACAAAAAATGTCTGAAAATTTCCCTATTTTTTTTTTTTTTGATTGGAAGCGCATATTTTTTTTATCAAATAAGACACATCCGATTACAATTTAGTGTTCCACAGTAACGAAAAATATCCAGGAACAACCCTTTTTTACCAGCAATTATAAACAATAGAAGCCCATCAATTTTCGTCATTGTCCTCCACTCCGAAACTTCCCTCTATTTTTTTTTTTGGATGGATGCATTTACCCCTCTACGTTAGGAAAGCGACCATCGGAGTAAACCAAACAGAATCACAAAAAAATTTCTTGACCGGATCGAATTTCTCCGGCCAGTAAAATTTAAATATTTCATAAGGTATTACCTCATAGTAGTATATTCCCCGAAGTATGGACCCGTTTGCTTATTAATCTTTATAATCTTTGGTTGAATTTATGGCCAACTATTTCGGAGATTCACAAAATCGCCGAAGTCTTGCGACGGTAAAATTAATCGATAATTTAGATGACCATCAACTTCACAAAAATATATCCCAGGCGACAGCATATTCGTAAGCATTAGAGACTGGTGTA